CGAGAAACCCAATGAAAATGCAGCGAACGTCCGAAATGTCGATCGTCCAAATGCTCGTCGAGTAATTTGCATCGGCAACGCGACCGTTCGTACTACCTGAATTGCACGTTGCGCGTGCACAGGCACTCACGTCAAGTCTAAGCCTAAATAAAGGCGAGGCTGTAGTAACATACATTTGCCATCCTGCTTCATTAGGCACGTCAGTCACGCGTTCGTAAACTCGAGCCCAGACGCCGACGCGCAACGCGCGAGCAACTTTCCTGGCGGAAATCAAACGGCTTGCGCCGCACAACATAGGAAGCGTTTCCAAAATTGGCAAACACGAGCTTACTTACGCAACAGGCACGCGTTGCATTACACACATGGGAAAGGCGTTATTTGTTTAGCGCCTTGAAAAATCGCATAATAATAGAGCGGAAACGAGTCCCGCGAGATGTATCAGGCCGCGCGCGCTCGCGCATTGTGTTCGTGATTATTGCGCGGGAGGGAGTCGCGTGCGAGCCATTGAACGCGCGATGATTTACGAGAGAAAGCTGGAAATTCGGAAAAGTGCAAAGAGTGCCGCGACGGCGGCATGCCCAGCCTGCCGTTCGGCGATGTTTCATCATTTGTCGCCGCGGAGTGAACACACCGTCGAGCGTTGCTCGGCAACATGTTTTTTTACGCGACGATTGCGATCGTCGGAAGGACATCTTTCTTCTCATTACAAAATATCTTTCGCACAGCGTGAAAGTCCCAACTTATCCCCCCCCCTCTCTTTCAGAAGTGAATGTCCACTTGTCTCGAATTTACGAGCGGACTGCCGAATGTATTCAGCCAAAGCTCGCGCGGCGACGTCGCAGCGACGATGAAAAGGAGCGAGCGCCAAATCCGATTTTATCAATTATCATCTGAGGAAAAAGAAAATGCGTCCAGCGTAATTTATTCGCGCGTAGGGACACCGCGACATTGGAATCGGAAAATAAGGCGAATCTACGCGTCATATCGCGCTCGTAAAGCCGTCCGAGTGCTAGAAAGTACCGGCGTTCTCTATATGCATGTGTACTTGTATGAATGATGCTGATAATAATAATCACAAATTCGGAGAAAGGGAGTGTATTCGCTAGACACGATGCTGCTGCGGCTGCCATTCATTTTTTACTATGTTACTTATTATCTAGATGAATGTCGTTTGACCTTTCATTTTCTCTGCGAGAACGCTAAAAGATATAATTGATCGACTACGTAGCGAATATATCGTATCTTCTTGCTTGAATTGATTATTCTGTTGTTGATTGTATGGAATTATCTTGTCTGACTGTTAAATGGACGTCCGTAGTCGTCTTGAAACAATCACGAATTGTTTGAAACAGTAAGGCAATGAATAAAAAAATTGTTCTCTCTTTTAATTTTCAATTGTTATTGCTTGCAATAAGTACATAATTTTGAAATAAATTATAGGCGTTAGATGAACAGAAAAGTTAGTATAAAGTAAATACGAAGATTTTTTCTCGAAAATGAAAGGAGTGAATCAAACTTTTTCAATTGCCAGTTGCATTATTTTATTAGCATCTTTTCTTAAATTGTTCTACGAACAATATGAACACGTTATTTTTAAAATTATTAAATAGAAATAAACTTAATTTATAATTAAAATTATCTTTTAATAAGCTGTTGGTCAAAGACAAACCATTCGCAAAGTATTATAAAATCTTCATCAGTCTACAATAAAAAAATATTCGTCTAGAGATAAGTAAATTGTTAGCTTGACATCTGCAACGTATTTGACCTTTCAACTCAAATGCAACAAGCGAGAGAAATTAATTATAGTAATTACTCAATTTACGTAACTTTGTTAATTTTTACAATTAACTATTTATTTTCCACGCAAATGTATAAAGAGTAGGGAGTTGCCGTTTTCTCAAGACAATTAAGCGTCCAATTTATACCAAAAAATTTCTCTTTGATCCGCATGGGTCGACACATGTTCATGACAATTTCTCCGCAATCGCTACAAATCAGGAAGCAGAGAGTTGTCCAAAAATGGCGCTCGTCTTGGGTTGGCTTTCCTCATTTTCTCCGCTGCAGTTACACTGAGTAACTATTTTTTCCGCGGACAACTCGTTCGCGATTTCTTTAACGGGACTTTCGGCTTCACCATCATCTGATCGATGCAGTCACGTTATTTTCAAAAGAGATTCTTCCGCAACTTCAAGATTTTTTAATTGTTGCTCTTAAGAATCGAGCGAGCAATTTCTTTCTTTATATTTCTTCGAATTTCAATGATGAATATATTTTATCAAAGATTTTAAATATTCACGAAAGTTTTAATAACTTGAGAGATTTATTTGATAGGTTATACAGAATAATTAATCTTAAATATGTGAAACATTTTTAAAACACTTTTCTTTGCGTAATTGATTAGTATTATTCAACATCCAAAAGAGCATCAACGAAAAACTAATTTCCTATCACAATTCACAGCTACCTTGTGTTTTTCAAAGATTTTTTTTCAACTACTTTGTCCTGAGATTAGTATTATAAAAAAACTGCAATAAACTATCAAATTTAATGCGCTCAACAATTATTGACGACTAGTGAAATCAGAGAAATATCTATCTATTCAAATATCAAATATCCAAATATCCAAAATGAAACTTTTGTTTTACGTTGATCTGCATCGTTGGCATGAATTTTTATAGCTTTGGCATAATTGTAAAACGCATTTATTTCCTCTCAATCAATAATTAAATTATTTCTGATTACATAGCACTGATTACAGACATGAAAATCTATGTTCCAATGGTTTTAGCTTGGCAATAAAGAAAGTAGTGAGATGTTTCACGAGGCAGCTGCAAATTCAGTTTGAGCTTCAATGAAACTTCTGCAACGAGCCGCATGGGTATAAAACCAATTATTATAAACTAATTCAAATTGTCCTGTTTGGAAGCATTATATTGAATTAATGTTCGATTAAATGTATATAGCAATGGTACACATAAAACAGTTCAAGGAATCTGAAGCGACTAAAGACTGCTGAGATCTAGGTATAGGAGCCTGATCATAGTATTCATTTTTTCTGTATTTTTAGTTTTGAAACCCACTTAAAATTTCATCATTTTTTCTAGATGGAGGTAGCTCTTGCTATATTATTCTATCACGAACAAAAGCTTTACGACTGCCGTAAATATCCTTACTTTTCCAGCTCATGCTGTTTGCTTTTTAAATTGTCATCATTTTTGTCGATTAGCATTTTTACAACAAATTTAGAAGCTAATTACTCCAAATTATTGTATTGAGCAGTAAATAAAAACTTTAAGTTGTAAATTTTGGAGGACCGTAAGTGAAGACATTTCCTAAATTTCCATTGCCAAGCAGAAGAGAATAACATTTTTATTCAATTGTAAATAATGCTCACTAAAAAGTATTCACTATATATTGACTTGATTACATTCTTCTGATGATATTGATAAATTTAGAACAGGTTTGTCAGTTCTTTGTAAATACTAATTTTAAAGAATTGTAAGTTATTGCAAACAATAGATCGTAACTTATTGAAGTCACTGGCATGCTCGGCTATTGAGCAACATTTATACTAATCTTGAATAGCCAATATAAATATTTTTTATATGATAATTAAATAACTAATTGAAAAGTTGTCAGGACTTGAAAAGGATATCTTCTTCTATAATTAGTGCATAAAAATTTCAATTTCGTTACATTGTCAAGTACTTTCAAGCAATACGATAAAATAATAATTATATTTTTAAAGTACGCACAGTCAAATTTCAAAAATTGATATTTCAGTTGTATTTTCCATCATAATTTTATAGTTCATTTTCCATGACAAGTTCAAAACAAAACAAAAATGTATGAAATTCTGAAGTCAAATCTATATTGCATTTCTTTCCCTTGACGTATAATATCTTACTTAAACATCGCAACTAAAAATAGTGTAAGTAAATATAGTAAGATAGATTTCTAATCATTCATGCCCCACTTTAACAGTATAAATAGGACAGACGCGAACTCTACAAAATTAGTATGATCGCAAATTATTGCCGACTATTGAAATCAGACTGTGCGAAATATTCAATCAAAATGAAACTCCTTTTCTTCATTTTGGTAGCTATCTGCATCATGGTTGTTCATTCTTCTCCTATAGTAAGTGATTACATTAACTTTAATAATTTATTACGTTTGAATATAACTTTGTATATTTGAAAATAAAAAATGTTTCAGCTTGATCGCCAAAAAAGAGATTCTGTTGGTCTGCCTCCTCACTCGACAACTAATGATGGTTCCAAAGTGATCCCAAAGCCAAAAAACTTGTACTCATTGTACTAATTGTACTATTAATAATAAAAAATGATAAAATATACAATTTATGTGTAACGAATTTCTTATTTATTGATTATAATACAACCACTGAAGATTTTAATATGTTATTTTTATATCAAAAAATATTTTCCAAACATAGACAGATTTATTATCATTTTCTTAGCTACTTCATACAATAATAGTTACAGTTAATTGATGAATTATTCCAATAAGATTAAACCATGTACACTATCAAATATGATAAAAGCAACCAATTTTTAACTACAGTATAAGCTCATTTTTAATTTTTCTATCATTGAGCATTTTAATTTATATTCTATTTTAATTTATATGTGAAAAATACATTGACTTTCAACTTTTTATCTTTATCTCATCTGTTGGAAGTGCATGACGCTTGTCAATGTTTGACAGCCATAGCACAAATTCAGTTTTAATAATGTTTTCAGCTCTTGGTCTAATTCAAACCATCCAAAAATATTTTAGTTTGATGAATAATAAGGATAAATTATGATAAAAAATAATCTGTATAAAATGTTGACAGTTTGCATAAATGTAATATCATGCGAAAAACAACTATTTGAAAAAGTGATTAAACGATTACGAAGTTTAACAAGAGAAGTACTGATAGTGAGTATAAATAAGAATACCAGATAGTTTGATGTCATCTAATGTAACAGAAGTAAACGGTAACAGTACTGAATAGTGAATCATTTACAGTAATACATATCTAATATGAAACTCTTACTTAGTCTTTGTGCAGTAATATGTGTCACTAGTTTTGTTTGCGTAAGTACAAACACTAATCTTCTGATAAACTAATTTATAAACACTGATTATCTAATGTAAGTAATTTATTTTTATATTTAAATATAATTACTTTAATTTAATTAATTGGCGCTTCCCAATCCACTGAACAGAATGCAGCAGGACCAGATGATGTAGCGGCTTGTTCTCGTGAAACTAACGTTGATATGAGTAAGATATATTTTGCAATACTTATATAATTATTCACATTATTGATAGATGTATTTAATTTTATGACTTTGAAAATTTTTTATTTTGTTATTTATAGATTTATTGAACGATATTAAAGTAACTGAAAACTATACTCCGCCCGAAAATGTAAGAAATTTTGCAGCATGTGTTTACAAGAGGGATGGTGTCGTAAGTTATATTTTTTTATTATAAATAAAAACTATATTAAAATAATTTTATTAACGAGCATTGAAATATTTATAAGATGAAAGAAGATGGTTCGTTGAATATGGATTTTGGTAATGGAAAGTTAGCTGAAGTCTGTAAAATAACTAATGGTAAATTTAAAACTTATACTCATCAACATTGACGCATGAAAAATATGTTTATATTAAACTCATACTTTTTATTGTTTAAGCTGGAAAGGATTTGACTGAAAACGTTGTAATATTAATGAAATGTTTCGTAGAACACAACGAAGCAGAGTTGAATTCCAAGAACGGAGAAGAATGAATTGATTGATTCATTCATTATATATGAAATCATAATTTTATCTGTTTTAATTAACGTAAATGTGTATGTTTGTATTAAATAATTACTTTCGGACTAATACATGTTTTTCTAAAAACCTACCAATTTTTTAGGACTTGAGCTGATGATTATTTTATAATTTTTATTTGTATAATTTTAGAATAATACAATGCACTATACGATCAAGATTTGACTGATATATAGCATAGAAACTTAATTATATGCACACGTTTCATGTCATAAATAATAATTATTATTAAAATTTTATCATGCTTTTCAATTCTTATAAGCATATACGTGATGAATAAAATTATGCAGTTTAATTCACGCAAGTTAAATAAAAACATGTAAAAGACAAATAACCTTCCATAGTGGATTATATTTTTCTTTAAGCGTATATAATAATTTTTTTTCGATATACAGAGATCAGAAATTAATTGATAATGCTTTGAAACGATATGATTACATTAAGTTGGAGAACTTAAAAAGCTAATTTTGATGCAAAAGAAAAACAAAGCTAATATAGAAGCTAAAGAAAATAAAAAATTCAATTTTAATAAACATAAAATCAGTGTAGATTTCCACAACGATCAAGAACACTATGGTCAGTTGAATATGTTATCTATAGCAAATATCATTTAAATAATAATAAAAATATATCTTACAAAAAAAAATTAAAATCATTTTTTAATTCTTTTATACAACTATGTATTTTACATTCTCTTAAAGCCATTCGTTTAGAATCAAGTTTGTTTTCTTATACACCTTTTCCAATGAAATTTTTATATATCGCAAACAAGTGAAGGATAGAGAAAGAGAGAAACTCATGTCTCGGCGAACGATCTTTCTCTTGCAGTGTGTTGCACGTTGAGAATTGTCGGATTAGAACACCCTTTGTTATTGCGCTAGAAGTATTATGTAAGTTTGCACTTATAGGAAGAGACAAACGCGTGATGCTTTTGTCACAGGTTTTTTCTTTTATTTTTTAGTGTCGTTGTCTCTTATAGCACCCCCCTCCCCCCATTTCATGGTGGGCGATGCATTGTTGTTGATCAAATGTGTACTACACTTTTTTATATAGCTAATGGTGAACATGAGGTAACGAAGCTGTATGAAATACTAGTGATATAAGAATCTTATATAGTGTATGCTGAGAATTCATATAAAATGACTTGTTTAGTTAATTTTTACTATTTAACATTGTAACTTCTTGTGGACTGTGTCACATTTTTAATATTAAAAGTAATCCGCACATTTTTATTTGATTCTACTAACATTTTCGATTGAATAATAAATCGAAAAGTATTACGTGATAAAATGCATTAAATTTTGGCTAATGTTATAACTCAAAAGTTATATCAACAAAATTATATCAAGCATTTAGTTGTAGTGGTTTATAATAATGTTTAATTTAATATTCTAATCTTATGCGTTTATCGGTAAACCTAGGTTTTACTTCATTTACTATTTCTTTTCACGAAATCAATATTTCCAAGAAACTCGAAAAAAACTATTTTAAAGTGTACTTGATAAAAGAAATAGTTTGGTAAGGAACATTTTAAAATTTTTCAAAGTAATACTGAACATGTATTTAAATTTTTGTGTTGAATTATTGCATTTCTAGATGGATAGAAGCGGAAAATATACAAAAATTGTGGAAGAAACGGAAATAAGTAAGGAGTGTAAATTTGAGTGTAAAAAAGTGTATTATATAATTTGTAAATAATTATTATGCTTGGTTTAGTAATGGAAAACTTTTTAATTAATAAAATATTTGTTTTAGATGAAAAAGACGAGTATGAGATAACAGAAAAATAAGTAACTTGCCTTTCTCGGAATAAATTTATAGAAAAAGTCATGATTAACATATAAAAAATTTAATTTCTGTTATTGTAATAAAGTAATACTGCATCGATATGTAATGAATCAAATTATGTAGGAATAAACAGTCTTCATTAATTTTAACATGTTTATTTTAACATGAAAAAAAAGTTGATTATACTACATTCCAAATATTTTTATTCTTTATGTATTAGCCACTAGCAAATAATATTGAAAAATGTCAAAAACGTGTTGTAAATCTGGAATTTGAAATAGCAGAGCGTCCTTGCTAGACACGTTGAAGAGAATCTAGAAGACACCAATTCCGTTTATTCAACTTAATAGAGATGACACTATATTGACCTGTAGTATAAAAGGAGTCTCTAAGAAGTATTTTAACTTGGTGTATGTAGTCGGTGCAAGCTGCTCGCTGAGCTCGTATTTTTCCAAACATAAAGTTGCCGAAATGAAATTTTTCATTCTATATTTATTGATTGGTATTATTAGTGTTTCGTCTGTAAGTTGTTATGTATGACGAATATTATTTTTTTGTACATAATTTTTCAAACAAAACAGTCAACTGGTAACACGCTCTAATATTTTATATAATAGTGAAAAAACAGTGAATGATTTTTTAGCATAGTGCTGAGGATGAATCTAAACCTAAGGGAGAGGTTAAAAAACTTCCGACAGAAGTGGAAGAATGTGCTCAGCAAGAAGGACTTAAAAATATACGTAAGAAATAATTGAATGTGTCTAACTACTACACAGAACATTAAAAATTTTAAGTGCAAACATTATCTCGATCGTCTTATGTTTTAGTTAATGAAATCAAGATTTTATTTTTTAAATAAATTTAAATTGTATTTCGCTTTTTTATTCATAGATGATGTTGAGGAGACTATAAAAAATAAAGATTACAACAATTTAACTCGAGAAATGCGTTGCTTTACGGCATGTGTTTTCAAAAAGCAAGGGCTGGTGAGTATAAAATTGATAGTTATTCGAATTACATTCTTTAAAATCAGTAAGTTTATCGAGTTAACTTTGAACTTTGATAATCATTAGATAGGACCTGATGGAACCGCACACAAAAATTTCCAGCGACCGGAAATAGCAAGGCATTGTAAAGACTTAAGTAAGAAGTTTTAGTAAACTAATATTTCAAGAGTTTCTTCAAATGTCAAAATTACGTTATTTATTCTTTGTTTTCACTCTCAAGGTGGAAAGGACGAATGTGAAATCGCTTATAAAATTGTTGTGTGCATGAACCGACCAGAATTTTTTGACGATTGAAGAAATTAATAGAAAATAAGTATGGCTACCAGTATGTCTTGATTACAATTTATGAAGAACAATCTTGAATACAATAATTATAAAGATTATGGATCTTGAAGCTTTCGTTCTGTACTGAATCATATTAGAATATTTAATTTATTGTAATTAACCATAGCGTATCAATTTCATAACTTCACAATTGACAGTTATCATTTAAAATATAAACTCAATTGAAATAATATATTATAATAGCTTAATTAAATGCTTCTTTTCAAAATGTTAATGTAGCTAAATTATTTTCCTTATCGTAAATTTTATAGTGAAAGTTCTATATTAACATTCTCATTGGAATATGAATATAAGAAAAACAGAAAAAGCATTATTGAAATTACCAGGAAGGACAGGTTGACAAGTCGAAAAATTATCTAATCTACGGTCAAGATCAGAAGTGCTACAACACATTTGCTCGTATAAAAGGGAGTGCTAAACGTACGTTGAAAACGAACGTTCAAAGTGAGTAAGTTACAGAGATTTTACAAGTTAGTAGTGTGAATATATATAACATGCATGTTTTATTTATCGTTTTCATAACAACCTGCGTCATTACAGTTGTCTCTGTGAGTAGTTACAATGTATAATACATTCATTGCATCTTCGTTATGATCTATATTAAAAAAGAAACCGGAAGATTATACCAAGAATATTGCGTACTCAATAGAATTAATTATGTTTTTCAATATATATAAAGTTCTTAATAAGTGATTTCTTAATTCTTCATTAAAAATGTCTATAATGTAATCATACATAAATTTAAATCAAACTTCTGAGAAGAATATTTGTATAAGGAATATGATATTTTAGAGTAATGACGATGTGTCGAAAATTGGCAAAGGAAAGGAAAAGCCGAAGCAACTAAACGAGGTGTGTGCTCAAGAAAATGGATTTAACTTAAGTGAGTTATGAATTAGAAGTGATATTCAGTTACACATAGAAATATTTTTATGATTTATTTGTTATTCCAGAAGCAATGTATCACGAAATAGCAACGCATAAGCATTTTGTGCCGACCCAGCCAATACGTTGTTTTGTCTTTTGTATGTATAAGAGAATTGGACTTGTAAGTGATAAGAATGATATTTCATAGATTAGCATTGAAACTGAATTTTAGTCGCCGAAACAATTTCCACATATAAATCATTTTAAATTTTTAAATATCTATATGTAGATGAACGAGGATACATCGTTAACTCAAAAGTTTTACGACACCGAAGGTGCACACAAATGCACGCACATAAGTAAATTTATTATAAGTTTAATCGATAAAATATACGATATTTATTAACGACGTGATATAATGCATTTTAATATTGTAGGTGGCAATGATGAATGTGATACTGCCTACAAAATAATGGAATGTGTAACTAAACATGAAATATGGTTTAAAGTAGACTATTAATCGTGGAGTTCCATTTATTATTCAATACCTTAATTGTTACTTGTGAAAATATAAAAATATTCTAGTGTAATGGAACATAAGTTATTCACTTACATCTTCTGTAATTATAAGTATTACTATAAATATCGATAATGCATTTGTCATAATATACGAGCCTTGTACTAAACAAAAAAATTATATTTGCACACATGAAAGAATGTAAATTTATTATGATCTATTGTTGGACAATAAGAATTTCAAAATATCATTTGCACTGAGGAAAATTATCTTGTGCGGAATATCTGACCATATACATGACTCAAGCCAACGGGTTTTGCCTTTGTGATGCAAATGTATGTTGGAAATAAAATAACTAAAACACTCTTTCAGATCACTTACGCTTATCTAGAAAGATGTAATTTGCAATAAAGTTGATTTCAAAACTATTTTCATAAAATTATTACAAAAAAATTTTGCTAATAAATGATTACATTGCATAAATATGATTAACCCACACTGTAATGACACGTAATAATATAGATTCCTTCGGTAATGTTAATTTAAAATAATTTTCGTATCTAAAATAGAAAGTCTAATAGAAAATAATATGCGCACGAAAAAAGTGTCGACATTAAAACGACTGAGAATTATATGTCATATGCTCAAGAAATTATCTAATTCATGCTCAAGAGCAGGACTTGCACAAATTGATCGCATAAAAGGTATAGCACTAAACGTACTAGGAAACTCACGTTCAGACTAGTGCTGTCATAAGCGCGGACCTTGATAGTGTAAATTTACTATGAAAATTTTAAGAGTATTCTGCGTTATACTCTGCTTTGTCGGTGTTTATTCGATGATTATTTTGATTATTAAAAGAGCTTCACTCGTTATTTTTCAATTATTTTGTTTTCATATGATCTTTTGACGTAAAGCATATAATTTACTGCAATCATCACTTTAAATTATGTATGAACAAAAAAACTCGAATAATGAAACCTTTAAATTCTGTTTACTATAAAACTTCTCTCAAGAACGAAAATTGTATGCAATACTGTTTGACTTTGAGTTTGCTGCTAAAAGAAGTTAGCAAATCAGATTTGTTTGTTATGAATCGAAGAAATGACTCTAACATGTATTATCAATTTTGAGGATGACACTCGAGAAAATCAGAAAGTTGACGTAGAGAAAGAACAACGGGGACAATGAAGAATGTGCTACTAAACACGAAATCAATTTAAGTGAGTAATACCAAGAGAAGGTATTTTTAAGACTATAAGCAGATCTAACCGTACAATTATATTTTAGAAGAGATGTTTCGCCACATGAAAACAAACAAAGATTTCGCTCCATCTCGATCGATGCCTGCTTGCTTGAGAAAAGTGGATTTGTGAGTATTATTTAATTACTATAATTTTATTATTATATTAAACGCATTCACGAACTAAAAGTAATTCGAACGTTATCAAAAGAATCCCGATGAATCCCTGACAAGAAAATTTAACGATTCTACAAGTGCTCATTGGTGTGAAAATTTAATTAGGTTCAGCTACAGTGTCATTTAGTAAAAGGTATTTAATAGTTATTCTGAGATGATTCATTTTTTAGCTGAGCGGAATAAGTGTGATGCTGCTTAAAAAATTATATTGCTATGTATCACATAAAATTAATTTTAATGAAGCATTAAGAGCAATATTACTTCGTATATATGCGCTACATATTATTTGATAAAGTTCCAAAATAAAAACATGATTATTTGTATGTCTATCTACGTTGGAAAAGTATAATTTTTTAATCAAACAAATCTTATAGAAACATGCAGTTTTTCATTTTTATCATAAGAAAATATTATTTGCCTGAAAAACTTGAAAATGTATTTACATTTAAAAATTTTACCGTCATTGACCGTGACAGAACGCGACACATGACGTTACGAACTCATCGGCGAATATTTCAACCAATGGAAATAATCGAACACGAGGCACGCCAGTCGCATAGTCGAGTTTGAAAAAAAGGAAGCGAAGCCAGAACCACCGCTGAGATGAGCGTCATCGACCGTTACATACAACAGTGTTAAAGAAGTGAAGGGGTGCAACCGCGAACTCAGATAATCAATGTGATTCGCCTATCGTAAAATATTCAAATTTATTTTTAAAGTGCAGGTCGACATAAGAACAATAATATTGCACGATTATCGTGCCAATTGTTACTGGAAAAATGGCTTGTCTCAGAAAAATGGAGGTTATTTAAACCATGCTTATATTTACTTTAATTCGTTTTGTTGTCATTGCTTTTCCCGCGTTATACTCCGTTTACTACATTTAAAAAATCATTCAACATTAGAAGGCAATACGATTCGTTCTGTCATCGCTCATCGGTTATATATTTTTTCTATTTTAACTGATAAATCACAAATGTTTTTAAGCTAATAAAACGAACCTTCATGCAAATGAAATTTATCGCTTCATGCGTCATCTTTCAATTTTTGCTAGTTAGATTGTTATATTTAGGCTGTCGTTTCTATTCTTTCCTTCTACATTTTTTAAATGAGCTTAAATTAAAGTAATTAGTATTTATTTGTATCATATTAATAGTATATTAGTTACATTTGAAATCTTGAACATTGAAACTTATTTATATGGCCAGTGTTCTGTACCATTTGTAACATCTATACCATAATAATTTTATAAACATATCTAAATATTATAAAGCTTTATATTTTACATGTCATATATATTTTTTAAACAAATTTTCATTCACCACCTGTGACAAATAAACTAGACAAACCGGATTCTTGAAAAAATTGAAATGGAGGTTCAAATGGAAAATAAGAAGAAAGAGTTAAAAGAAATACGTGAACAAAAGAAAAAATTACTTGAACTCCAAGATAAAACGGAATCAAACTACAGGATGACTTCTAATTTAGAAACACAGCTGGAAAATACTACTAAAAGATTAGATATAGCCAATAAAGAACGAGATAAATTTGAAAAGGAATTAGTTAATACAAAATCAGAATTAGCTGGAGTTAAACGGACTCTTGGTAAGTTATAATGCAACAAAAATTTTCTATACAATACATAATATCTATTATAGATTTATAATTATTTATAATACATCACTATACAAAATTAATTGTAATACTTTCTGTAGACTTAGAGCGTCAAGAAAGGAGAGAATTAGAGACCAAAGCTTTGAATCTAATCAAAAGTGCAAAAAAAAAGTGGGAAAATGCAGAGAAAGATAAAATTAATCAACTGAATAAACATATTGAAAGTCAAACTGTACGAATCACAGAACTGTGCACGAGCAACAATGAGATGAGTTCCAGGTTACAGAGAATAGAGACAGAACTTGAAACTGCAAATGCAGAACTTCATAAATTGAGAGTCTTTGAAGTATGTATTCTGTTATTTAAATTTTCAATATCTGAATCAATCAAAAAAATTCTACTTAATTATATTTATTTTTTACAGGTACAATATAAAGAATCACTGAATAAAATGCGTGAAATAAATAGACAGAGTGCTGTAGGTGTAGAAAATAAACTGGAACAAATATCAACAAGAGCTCATAATCAAATAGCTGAGCTTAGAACTAAATTAGAATTAGAAACATCAAAGAACATAGATTTAGAAGGAAAATTAAGAAATGAACAGGACTCTAGCCTTTGTCGACAATCCAGGTTGAATGTAGCTTTAGAGTTAGCTCAGAACGAACTGAAGGACTGTCATGAACAGTTGAGGAGCTTAAAAGCCACTATTCCTGCAAGAGATGCTGAAATCGAAACACTCAAACACCAACTTCAGGAGAAGTCCAAGCAGTTGGAAAATGCCAGTAATATGGAACAACTGGTTGTTACTTTACAAGAGCAACTTGATAAGTTGAAAATAGAAAATGATCAATTAAAACAGCATCTAGAGGTATAATTTTTTTATTATTATGAAAATAGTGATTGAATACATTTGTAATTTACCTATGACAAATTTCTTTAAGTCCACAAAATCCGATTTACATGAGACTATGATCAATTTGGAAGTAAATGAAGCATTAGCTGCTAATTTGGAAAGAGCAAATCAAGACAAAGATGTTTTGGAAAAAAGATTGAAATCGACTCTCCAAAAAGAAGGTTGGTTGAATTGCATAAAAATTTATTATATTTAGACATTATACCATAAAAGGGTTACTTAAACATTACATTTGCATCTCACTAACGTCATTAGTACAATTTTCATTAATTAAATACAACAACTATTTCAGAGGAACAGGGTCGCAAGGTTGGTAACCTGGAGGAGTTGGTTCGTCGTTTCGAGAAGAGCGTGATGAAGCTCGAAGCAGAGAACGCTAGTTTGAAAACAAGCCATCAACAACAGTCGCGTGCATCATTGAATCGCCGTTCAGGTACTTCAATCGAGGACACCGTGAGAATGTCAAGTCTTGAGCAACAAATTGAAAGTCTTGAATCGCAACTCAAGACTATTCGCGAAAATGCAGAAGCTGATCGTCAAGCAGCTAAGCAAGCTCAATTAAATCTTTGGAAAAAAGAGAAGGAATTGTCGGATGCAAATCTTGATAAGAGGATAGCAACGAGAGAAGCCAAAACTGCCGAAGAAAAGGTAAAGAAATTACAAGAGGAGAAACAAAAGCTGATGGAAAGACTAAATAGTAAAATCAAAGACGAGGAGGATAAGATGAAAAAAATGGTAAAGGAGCTCGAAGAAATTAAGAAATCATTGAGTGAGGCTACTAAAGATGCTACTAGAAACAAATTACAGGCCGACTCGGCTCAAAAGGTACATATTTGTCCATTTATTATAAATCTAACATTAAATAACAACTCTTCACAATTTAGAGAAAGTATCGTTTCAAATACTCTACTTTGAAAAATATTTTGAATCGTAATATGAATGGCCTCAAATGAACCAGGTCCATTCATTTATCACTTAACTAATAATCAAAATTCACTTATAGGCGTTAACGCAAGCTAACAAACAGATTGAAGAGCTACAGAGTTCGAGTGCGGCATTACGTCGCGAATTTGATTCCACTCGTAAGCAGCTGCGAAACAGCCAAGATCGCGTGGACTCAATAAACGTAGAAAAAGAACGCTTGTCGCTACAAGTATCCAAGCTAAAGGAAGAGAATCGCGAATTGGAATCAAAACTTGAGAAGTTACAACGTGAAGAAAATAGTTATCAAGTGAACATTGATCTCTTGAAGGAAACCTGTACAGTACTTGAGGAACAACTAAATGATTATGAGAAGTTAACCAGCAATCACGAGACACGTGAGAATACACTTATTCAAGAAAAGATGAAGTTGCAGAAGGATCTCGAAGTTGTTGAAGGCAAATTGCGTGAAGCTAACGCTTCGTTGGCCGAAGAAAAAGCTACGCGACTTTTTGCTGAAAGAGCTATTGAGAGGCTTGAGTCCGAGGCCAGTGATGTCGAGGAAGAGAGGAATGGTCTTGTACAACAACGTGATCAGTATAAAAAGCTGACTCAGCAGCTTGGAAAACAGGTACAAGATTTAATTGAAATACTGTTAACTTTATATGTAAATTATACATATTGATTATTCCTACTTTGTTAATAGGTTGCGGAGTTGCAACAAAATTGTGGAGGACTCGAGTGCGAGTTGTCGGAAACAAAAAGAAATTTGGAGATGTCGAAGGCAGAAGCAAGAATTGTTAAGGAGGAATGCACGCAGCATCTTACGCGATTACATGAGATGAAAGAGATGAATGAGCACCTTAGTGCTGAACTTCAGAGTACGGTTGATCAAGGACAAGAGTGGAGGTCGAGAGTTATCGAATTAGGTGAGGCTAAGTTTTTACAATATGAAAAAAGTTTCAATAGAAGTTAAAATAAAAATGATTTTAACATTTCTTTTACTATGAACAGAGGAAGTATTAGAAGAAATGCGTCAATTCTATCAAGAGCGAGAAATGAAGGCAGGTAGCACTTGTCAGCAGCAGACTAAATTGATCGACTTTCTGCAGATGAAATTAGAAGAAGTTTCTACGAGTAAGAAAAAGAAGACTGTTTGCGATAAGATCTTCGGCTCTAAGCAGAAGGAAAATATACCACCTATCAATTCCAATGCAATGCCAGTTGGTTATCGTGAATTGGAAAACCAATTAGGTAAATAGCTGTATCTATCTCACACGTGGTTCTTTATTAATAATATTCGATTATATCAACACTGTTTTATAATTTTAGAATGCGAGCGAGCTAAAGTCAAAACCTTGACCGAGCAACTTCTGGCAATCAAAGCAACTCGTGCAACTAGTCCACGTCCGATTTCAAATCCAGCTTCTCCAGAAAAATATCCGGTTAATGCCGAGACTTTAGTATCAACTCAAAGAATGCGTCACAACATACCTCACCGTTTCAACGTAAGTCTACCGATGAGAGCAGGTAAATGCGCTGCTTGTCTCGAGTCTATACAATTTGGAAAAAAAGCTGCCATATGCGCCGAATGCCAAATTATGGCACATCTCAAGTGCTCGGTTTCGGTACCAGCAAATTGTGGATTACCCGGTGGATTCGCTCGACACTTGCACAAGGAGTCTAGTACTGATAGCCTGTCAAGTTTTGGTGGCAGTGTGCAGACTCTTGCAATTGACGAGCCAGATCATATTCCTGAAAGGGTGAGTTTTTATAGTGATGATTGTTGTCGTCTACTAAGTTGGACATATTTTCACGGTATTTTCTAGCTTTCTCATACGAAATTTCTCACAAGTATAGCACAACTATCTATTTGTAGGCTTCTCACTTTTACACATCTAAAAAATCTTTTCTGATATATTGTGTTTTATAAATCTGTCGTTTAATTATTGCAAATTGATGTTTAAGTATATTAACAAGAAATAGATATGAAATTACATATTTTGTAATACAGGATACGGATTGTACACGCAAACCAACAAACGGTGAGATTTTGATGGAAAGCTGGGTAAAACTACCTGGTCGAGCGAAAGCATCGTGGGATCGTAAATACCTGCGTCTCGAGGGTTCCTGTTTGTGTACTTATGAACACCAACCAAGTCCCGGAATGTCATCGATATCTCAGCTCGATCTCACCGAGAAAGATGGCTTTATCATCTGTGAAAACGTGACCCAACCAGAAGTACCAAGCACAGCTAAAAGTGATATGCCTTTCATATTCAGAATAGAGTCTAAATCACCAACTACCTGTTGGCCAAGCTCAAGACTTGATATTATGGCACTTAGTCAGATCGACAAAAAGGATTGGCTGAAAGCTCTTAAGACATATTCCAATCTATCAACTAAGATTGAAAAATTTCAAACTATTATGAAGCTTGAAAAGAATCAGGTTAGTAATTCATGTCAATTCAAAATATTTTAATGATGTAAATGATAATTTAAATCTAATGCTTTACTCTGAAAAAAAAAAATAGTTTAAGCGATTTGCATATATCACGCGAGAAGACGAATAATAGATTAGATTTATGTTAAAATTTCTTAACGTAGTGAAAACAGATTTTACAGAGTCAGTATAAATAATCAAGTTAAATTATTATTTGACATTCTAATGGCTATTAATTTAATCATTAGTTTGTTATTTTTCACTGACATGATTTGTAACGCCAAAATAAAAAAAATTATTATTTTCATGAAAAAAAACGTTGCATCATACTAATAAGATCAAAAACTAACAAAATACTCTTTCAAACAGCTGGACATTAATACAGTAGTCGAGCTTGAAGATGAAAATATACTCTTGTTTGGTGCTGAGGAAGGATTATTTTCATTTAGAGTTGGTCGATCACGGTGTCTAACCATTATTCGTGGTGTAAAAAAAGTTTACCAACTTACATTACATTCTCAACTTGGCATCGCACTCATGATCGCTGGCGAAGATCATGAACTAGTCTTATGTGATCTGCGACAATTAAAAAATAATGCTTTAGCCGCTGAATGCTCAAGACCAGCCATCAATACTAGATCTGTACTGACTGGTTCTGAGAGCTGTCATCTCTATCAGATCCAAGGAGAACTTCTTTGTGCTGCTACTGTTAGTCAAATCATGTGAGTACTAAGCGAATATTCAACAAAACAGTGTAATAACAGTGTCTCTAATGAAGATTAAAAATGTTTGCTTTTTTTAATTTCAGATTACTTAGATGGGTCGTGACCGAAGATAATGGTGAATTTATCAGTGTTAGAGAATTTGAAACGCAAGAGCCTTGTGGTTGTGCTCTATTTACGGAAAATCGTTTGATTGTGGGATGTCACAAATTCTTCAAAATCGACGTCAACAATTATTCAATTGATGGTACGCTCACTGTTAATTAAACTATTATTATATTATCAATAAATCTAATCTAGTATTTATTTCAGATTTTCCAGAAGATGATAATCTATTAAAAACAACTTTGAATGGTGTGGCAAAACTTGGTATTTTCCCAGTACATGTACTTAATGTCTCAAACAATTCACATAAATTGGAATTTTTACTGTGTTATAACGAGTTTGGCGTATTCGTCAATGAAAGTGGTAAAAGAACTCGTGGCGTTGATCCCAGTTGGAGTCATTTGCCGTTCGCTTTCGGTAAAAAAAATACTATTTCTCTATAAAAAATTTCTAATTTATCATGTTAAACTATATATTAAATATATATTATTTGTTTGTTCAAAATATTGTGATTTTAGCTTACTGCAAGCCTTATATTTTCATTGTACACTTCTCGTCAGTTGAAATTATAAAACTTGACGCTAACTCATACAAATCGATCTCAGTGAATCCAGAAAGGCGTCTCATAGAATTGAGTAATCCTAGATATTTAGGATTAGCAGCAACTCGAGGAATATATGTGTCGGCGACAAATTCAATTTTAGAAGTATTAAAAATTGAAGGATTTTCGACTTTACAAAATTTCAGCGATAGCCTCACTAGTCTTAACACATTGTAAGTGTATTCAGGCTATTATAATCAACATTAGAAACGTAAATGACCGATTTTTTTGCCACTTAATATAAACATTGTCTATATAGTAGTGAACTTCAATATGAAATTTTAAACTATTATGATGAGTAAGTCAAATTTTACAAGTAATACAACAATTTTTCAAAACTTCACACTTTTGCAATCATTAAAGCTATTGATATCTGTTTTTTTATACTTGTAAAACTATGAACTATTAAAGTTGTTGTAAAAATATTTTTTTAACAACATTCAAAAAGCTATTAATTTTTATTATCTTATTATAGATATTATCAATATCTATACCAAGTTTCAAGAAAATCGATCTTCTATGCTTCTGGAGTTGATCGTAGAAGAATACATATTTTGACATTAATTTCTTAGTTTATTACTAATTTTATTGTTAATATGAATCGTATATATTTATATATTACTTTTAGAGTTGAGAATGACGACACAACATCAGAATTCAGCTTTACTTCTAGCCTGATGGAAGTTCTAGATGGGAAGAAAGTGCACTTTGCCAGCAATTCATGAAATTGTTAATAATTGTCGTATAAGTGCCTATTGATATATAAGATAATATATATCTATTGGATGATTTTATTAGGATAGTGTAGATTATGGCCTTCTCTTGTCAAATTAATTACTTAGGACCAATTGAATTTTGTTAAAATGACTTGAATAGATAGAGTATTGATTTAGTCTATGTAATTATACTTTTTGTAATTTTTCTTCTAAAACTTTCTTGAATAGAGAATAACAGTTATGTATGTAATTCATTATCAAAGAGTGTTGTTTTGGTTTTGCTTATTTACTTAAAAGAATTTATTTTTTGCTTAATATCTTTTTTTTATAGGATAATATTTGGCAGCAATTCTTACAGAACTTTGAAGAAAATAGTATGAAACATTTTAAATTATTATTATATCATAATACAGATATTATAGGTTGTATACGTAAAAAGTACAAGTTTGAGAAATTATTAAATTCCTAATACAAAATCTGTACGGATAAATAAGTTTGTTGTAGTATGTACAAGTATTATAAAGCATTAATTTCATAAAATCAACTCTTAGTAACATTTGATTGATATCAAAAGATAAATATTGTATATTGAACAATTTTGTTTGTATTACAATAAAACGTACATAACATTTTCTCTTCTGAAAATATCTATTAAATAGTAACAATACGTACGAATTGATTTATTCTATCTATGGAATATAAGTAACAGGATATTTATTCGAAATGTAGAATGTATGTAGACAATAACAATTTGTGGCATTAGATTCGTATGGCTTGAGCAACTGAACATGAAAGAAATTCCCATGCCGTTTAGCTTTTGCAAAACATAAGCAAGTTTAGTTGCAAAGTGGAAAACTTTTATCAAATAAATTTTTTACGGACGTAAATTATTTTAATAAAATTTTATTAAAAAATGCATCACACTATTTCTAATGTTATTACGAATAGTGCTGTTTTTAAATATTTTGAAAATATGGCATGAATTAACAAGCAACGCTTACGCTGAAGACTTCCTTAATATATACATCTATTGAGTCTGTAGAATGTGCTTTAGTTTTGCGAAATTTCGTTTGTGTAATGTAAACAATTCTTTGAATGATTTCCTTTTGATAAACTTCTCTTGTGCGTCTATGGCTGAAAATGTTATATTCATTCCTATAAGATAATTCATTATTATACGATTTTAAATTTACAATGAACTTAAATCGCGCTTACGCAGTTAAACGTTTGGGTGACGTATCAAATCGCGAACGCGATTGTGTTGTAAAACGACTTATACATTTTTTATAAGCGTGCGAACTTTGCTTATTGTCGTACGTGGATTCATCAGACATTTTTTCCACTTTTTTGCGAGAATAAATTGTAAAAAAAATCATACATAATTCGTGTAAATATGCTTTTTTAATTAGAGTTAAAGCGTGAAGAATGTGTGAATACATTTCGCTGTATGGGAAATGGAGATTAAAAATATTATTATTGAAAGTCGTGCGCAAATAAAAGTTGCACGTGAAATTCAATTTTATTCTTGTAAAAATGAAACTTGGAATATCTACCATGATGCTTGAAGCGAAATATGGTAAAACAGAGATATGTTTTAATCAAGAAACCTGTGTCGATTAACATCATTGACCTGGATAGAGAGATTTGTTGAAAATGGTGCATAGGTGACCAATTTTCAGCACCATTTAGTTGTGATAGATATTGTTTTTCAAATCGTTATAAAAACCTAAGTATTCGATGACGTATAAAGACAATATTATTATGCAATCATGATGCAAAGAATGATTGTAATGTTCGCTTTTATAAAGGATATTAATCCATTAAATTTGCTGTAATAAAATAAAAAGATTATTTATTCTAATGAAGAAATTTTGTTGATAACTAAGAATTTTTTCCTCGAGTTGAGAGATAAACGTTTTGGAATTTGCCGCATTCTTCAAGAAATGCTCTTGTTACTTATGTACATGAAAATGCTTACATAAAAACAAAAGCACACCGTTCACGGTAATTGAACTTTGAATCACTATGTATTTCAAGTGTCAAGTACTTCATAAAAAAACACGATGTACATTACGATACTTTTATTGACAGCAGGTGAGCTAGTATGCAAAGTTCGACGTTTCCGCCAGTTTGCAAGCATATGATGTCCAGTACGTGGAAAGTTCATTGACTTTTTAAATTAAGTACCTATTGTCTGTAATATCAGAGTTTGTTTCGACAATCAATGTCTGCAACACATCTTACCCTTGAAGATATTATCTAACCAAAGTTTCCGGCAAAATCAATACGCAATTGACGATTTGTTTCACTATAACTCTTATTTGAAATAATAACACTACGATAAGCGTTTCGCAAATATGATTGTCAAACAACAATTTTTAAGCTTAAATATGCCCCTTGCTCGGATTATGAAAAATGGATTCAGCTTATTGTTTACTTCAACTCGCCATCATACGCACAAATTTCTATTTCCATCGCTGATACAAAAATTTGAATAATAATACAATGAAATTCTAATGGTGCTTTATGAATCGTCGTTGCAACTTTCATGAATAACCGCTAATGTTGGTGAATAAACATGAATAAACACACACAAGAATTAATATATTGAATATTCACAAAACATCAAAACTATATCTCCAAATATTTTTTAAAAGTGAAATTTTTATAATAAAGCAGAGTATTATTAGTTTCAGTTGGATATACAGGCCAATCGGATTGTTATTCCACTATTGAACTGCACTAAAAGACAATTATTATTCAAACTTGAACTTTAGCACGAAATATTAATAGCTAAAGAAAATGCAACTATAATAAAAAAAGAATTTGGAATTTCGTATCTTTATTCCATTGTCTGATTTCCATTACAAATCTTTTCTAAAATTAATTGAGATAATAAAATCCTGAAATACAATCATTACGTCTCACATATAATCGTCTGTTCATCAAACATTTATCTAATGCACTTGATTTTGACGATGGCGAATGAAAAAATGGATTTTTCTTGCGTCCAAACATTTATGTTTGTGAGAAAATATCATAGGTCACTGCATATGTAGACACCTATTGGATTGCCACTACTTTTAGTACTGCAAATTCGACTCCATGCAATGTTGTTGATTACAAAAGATGGGTATTTAGCTATTATTAATTAATCTAATTAAATTCTATATGTTAAATGAATCGGCAATTGATTTTCACTATGACTTTTTACTATTAACTTTTATGCTTCAATATCCTACAGACATTAGCTTAGCATTTTGTTTAGGAAATAGCCTTAATAATACCTGCGACGACTTGGAAACATGTTGAAGTCAAGGGAAAACAATTAGATGTAGACTTACAAAAATTAATTGAAAGAAATGCAGTAAATAGAGTTTTTTCGTAGTTGTAATGTATGATGTTTATGCTATCATAATTCGAATGTGGGCTTCCCTTGATATTAATGGTGCTAATATAACAATGTTACCTAATGATATAGTTAAGATTGATTCTTGTTGTAAAGAATAATTATTAAATAAGATAGATTATTCGAAAGTATATGATGTATTAAAATTTATAAATACAATCTAAAGCTGAGCGTTAAATCAGCTAACCGAGGTTATTGTTATTGTTGTTGTAACCTCAAGAACTATGCCCATGTAGAACGGTGTACACTGAGTACCTGGACTCATTAGTCTTGGTTTCTTATAGTCATGAGTATGTAGTTTTCGAAAATGGTGTAGGAGGAGAAAGTTTTACACGCACCATAACTGGACCTACAGTTTAAGGTGGAATCCGAACTACCGAAATCACGGTAATAAACATATGTAAATTTCATTTCTAATAATCTCACATGCCCAGGACTCTGACCCACGACCTCTTGCACAGAAGCCTGGGCTCTTACCCATTTAGCTATCTTGATCCTTGATTTATTTTTGCTTAATATATTTTTTATTTATAGGAAAATCCATAAAGTTAGTGCGACGAAATATTGTTTCAGCTTCCTTCTTTTCTTTGAAAAAATACTCATTTTTTTATGAAAATAAACCATCAATTTTTAAGTAAAGAAAATAAATAATAAAAAAAGTAATCTTATGGCTGATACTGATCTGGCTGATACTGATCTGGCTGATAATGATGGCACGTAAAACCCCTAGAAATTTCTAAACGCACCTCTTACTGCAAGCACAAAAGATCATCCGATACCAGAAAGTGATAGTGTCAAGGATATTAGAAAACATGTCATTAACGCAGTGACATTGGCAACTGTGGTATAAAATTAAACAAAACAAAATGTGTCAACCTATGGTAATGACCGCGAGAAGTGTATTGACTGACATTATAAAAGCTCTCAAGTAACACGCGTTGCCCCCATTTTTTCTTTCGTTCTGCGAACGATTGGTGGGAAAACGACGACAACGACGACGACGACGGCGACGACGACAACGACGAAGACGAACGAAATTCTTTTCGTCCAGTAACTGCTCAACACTCGACACGTTAATGCGAGAAGAAGCCAAGCTGCTGCGCTCGTGTGATCTATTGTGCTACGATAAGGCGCGAAGATGTCGTTCGCGGAAATTAAGGAAGCGGACCTCCATCCCCGGAAATTAGAGCCAGTTCTACCCGGGGATGAGATTGTGATCAGTGGTATTGCCGGACGATTTCCGGAATCTGATAGCGTTAAACATTTACAAGAGAATCTTATGAACAAAAGAGATCTTATTACCGGCGACGATCGGAGATGGAAATTAGGTAATCCTCGGTTATTTATCGAAATGTATCTGAACTTTATTATAATTATTATAAACATTACCAGTAAATAATTTTTAGTTAAATTAAATAATGTATAATTTTTATAACGATTCAGCATAGGTTTACAAACATTTTCAAAAGCGATCCTTTCACATCATATTTCTTAAATTTAACTATATAATTATCAACTACCTTGAATTAATTATTTAATAAAATTAATGTATTTTAACTTTATAAAATTAATAAAAATTTTCAATAATTTTCAAGCTTTTTGCATTATTATTATCACTGCTGTCAATTTGTTTAAAAGTCACAAGAAAACTACTTTGTGAAAGTATTCGTGTACAAGTGATATTTTAATTCACCTGGCCTGCACCAAATTCAAATGAATGCATTTAAATACTAAAACACGTGCTCTACATCATTCAACATAAATTCGTTTCTTTATTTTGTGTAAGAGGCATTTTAGTTACAATTCATTTTCGTTTCCACGATAAAACATTATTTCACTAAAAAACATTCATTCGAAGGTTTTCTTTTTTTCAAAAATAAATATTTATGTGTACAAACCGAAATAAAAAATGATCTTCAATAGCGAAATACCCGAAAGTTCGTTTCAAAATCATTTGAATTATTTATGATACATTAATGTTTATGCATGATTGTAGCATTTTGTATGCATCTGGTTTTACGCAACAAAACCATAGGAAAAATCAGACGTAGCAGAATAATCGTTCAAATATTGCGTCAACATACCAGTTAATTAAACAATTACGTATAATATTTTAATCATTGAAAAATTATCTCGAAGAAACAAATTTTTTTCTTAAAAACTAAACTAAACACTTTTTTCAATATCAATATCGTAATTTCTAAATTGTCCGATACTTCTAAAGAAATTTTTAATTAAATTTATATGTATCTTCGTTAAATGTGAAGTGCATCATTTGACATCATTAAAAGCAAAATTACTCAGGAAAAAATTCATTTCACTTCAGAGCATCCGGACATACCAAAACGCACCGGAAAAATCAGCAATATCGAAAAATTTGATGCCCTTTTTTTCGGCGTGCATTTCAAGCAAGCTCATACGATGGATCCGGTCTGTCGTATGATTCTCGAACACGCTTTCGAAGCAATACTCGACGCTGGCGTCAATCCAAAGCAACTCCGTGGTACCAGAACAGGTGTATTCGTTGGTGCGAGTTTCTCCGAATCTGAGAAAACGTGGTTCTATGAAAAATTAACGGTAATTGTCTCATAATCAAATTGCACAATGTTAAATTCTAATCTGATTTTTTTTTGGCGAATTCCAGGCAAACGGTTTTGGTATCAGCGGATGTTCTCGCGCGATGTTGGCGAATCGTATTTCCTACTATTTGGGTGTAACTGGACCAAGTTACGCAGTCGACACTGCTTGCAGTTCGAGTCTCTATGCCTTGGAACACGGCTACAGAGCGATACGAGACGGTCACTGCGACGCTGCTATCGTCGGAGGTGGAAATCTTTGTCTTCATCCTTATGTATCAATGCAGTTTTATAAATTAGGTTTGAGAACAATTTTTAATTTATTTCTCGTATTCTAAACTATATTATTAACTCTTCAATTTTCAATAGGCGTGACGTCGATGGATGGTCGCTGCAAAGCTTTCGACGAGAGGGCAGACGGTTATGTGCGCAGCGAAGCAGTTTGCGTAGTATTTTTGCAAAAAGCTAAAGACGCTAAACGTATCTATGCAACGATGGTTCACGGAAAATTGAATTGCGACGGATTCAAAGAAGAAGGCGTAACGTTTCCCTCGAGTTACATGCAAAGCGTCCTGATGAAGGAATTTTACATGGAGATTGGATTACCACCAACAATCGTCAATTACGTGGAAGCTCATGGCACTGGCACTCGAGTCGGTGACCGCGAGGAACTTAATGCCATCGACGCAGTTTTCTGTCCAGGTCGTACGACTCCGCTAAGAATCGGTTCCGGAAAGTCAAATTATGGACACGCGGAACCTGCCAGTGGAATCTGCTCCGTTGCAAAAGTAAGCAAACATACGAATCTTTAAAAAAAAAACCATTTGTAATTGAAAAATATAATTTTTCTAAAGGCTTTGATAGCAATTGAATCCAAAGTGATACCACCGAATCTACATTACATAAGTCCACGAGAGGGTGCAATAGGATTAGAACAAGGACGACTCACTGTCGTAACGGAACCAACACCATTAGACAGCGAATACGTTGGCGTTAATTCTTTTGGATTTGGAGGTGCTAATGCTCATGTACTTCTCAAGGCTCATCCAAAGGAGAAGGTCAATAATGGTATTCCATCTGATGATCTACCGCGATTGGTAACTATATCTGGGAGAACAGAAGAAGCTGTGACGACAATGATCGATGATGTTCGTACTTACATTTTAATTTTTATTTATTTCTACGCAATATAATTAATTTTCCTATCTCTGTAGCTCAATAGCAGACCGGTAGACGTCGAACACGTTGCACTATTGCACAATATCCATTCAGACAACATAAGTGGTCACCTGTGTCGTGGTTACACGATTTTACCAACACGAGGTACTGCCGAGACACTCACGAAGGAAATACAATCATTCTCGGGAACGAAAAGACCAGTTTGGTTCGTCTTTGCTGGCATGGGTTCACAATGGCCTGCGATGGGTAAATTCAAAATTAATATTAGTTTTACATCAAAGATCAACTGGATTGATAATTATATCTTACAGGGGAAGCCCTATTGCGCATACCATCATTTGCTGAATCCATCAGAAAAAGCGACGCCGTTCTTAAACGTCATGGATTTGATCTTTACAGCGTCATCACCAGTAAGGACAAAGCCGTAGTTGAAGATATTGTCAATGCGTTTGCTGGAATTGCTGCGATTCAAGTAACTTTTTATAAAGAATTGTTTAAAAATAACAATTTAAAAAATCTTTGTTTTCACACAGATAGCTTTAGTCGATGTCCTTAAATTATTGGGAATCGAGCCAGACAACATTATCGGTCACTCCCTCGGTGAATTAGCGAGTTCCTACGCGGACGGCAGTTTAACAGCTGAGCAAACGATTCTGTCAGCGTACTTCCGTGGTCGGGCGTCCGCCGAGACAGAATTGATACCAGGCGCAATGGCTGCAGTTGGTCTTGGTTACAAACAAATTAAACACATGTGTCCTCCTGATATCGAAGTCGCTTGTCATAACTCCGCTGAGAGTGTAACCATCAGTGGGCCTATCAAGTCAATGGAGAAGTTCGTAGCTGAATTACAGGTAATTGAATTTTAAAACTGTTTTTGTTTCGAGATATTTTAAAGTTTTTGATTATCAGTCGAAGAACATATTTGCACGAGAAGTAAAGAGCAGCAATGTCGCTTACCACAGTCGTTATATTGCTGCAATGGGACCAAGATTACTCACTTACATGAAACAAATTATTCCACATCCAAAACCACGTAGTAGCAAATGGATAAGTACATCCGTACCACAGGATAAATGGAATAGCGATATAGGTCGTTACTCATCTGCTGAGTATCATACCAACAACGTACTCAATCCTGTGTTACTCGAAGAAGGTTCAGCATTTATACCAAAAGACGCTCTAACTATTGAAATTGCACCACATGGTCTTTTACAAGCGATCTTGAAGAGAGCACTACCATCAAGTGTTACTAACATTGCTTTAACGCAACGCGGTCACAAAGATAACGTGGAATTTATCTTGCAAGCTCTTGGCAAGATGTTTAACGCTGGTCTACATCCTCAATTAGGTGAATATCTCACTTTTTTCGAACCTTCAAAGTATGGCAGCTTCTCATAGAGTCGTTTGATAATTTTTAGCCAAACTTTATCCATCTGTACAATTCCCTGTGAGTCGAGGAACCCAAATGATATCTCATCTCATCAAGTGGGAACATTCCGACGACTGGTACGTTACTTCATACGAATCGCAGCAGAAAGTTGCATCTGGAGAACGCATGGTAAAAGTGAATCTAACCGACTCTGAGTACGAGCATCTTTCTGGTCACGTTGTTGATGGACGTGTTCTTTATCCAGCTACTGGATATATAACGCTCGTATGGGAAACTGTTGGTATGATGCGTGGTGAGCTGTTCACTGATGTATCGGTTGTTTTCGAAGATGTTAAATTCTTGAGAGCTACAACTTTCCCTAAAGACGGTGCAGTGGAGCTCACTGTAGTTGTACAAAAAGGTGTGCTTAGTATCGAACATTTGATTTCTATGAAATGTTGATTATTATTTTTAATTAACAGGAACCGGCAGGTTTGAAATCGTCGAAGGTGACACGGCCGTAGTAACCGGTTTGGTACGAGCTTGTTCAAATCCTAACGCGGAAAAAATGAATCTCCCTTTACCAGAAAACAACGAAGAAGAGTCAATGTCCACCCGCGACGTCTACAAAGAATTAAGACTTCGTGGATATCATTACAACGGTCTTTTCAGAAGCGTTAAAAGTTCAACGACCGATGGTTTGAAAGGTCATATCATGTGGCGAAATGACTGGATATCATTTATGGATAATATGTTGCAGATGCATATCCTTCACGTTGATACTCGTGGTCTTTTCGTTCCTACGAATATTAAGAAAATTGTAATCGATACAAAAGCTCATTTAAGTCATTTTAAACCTGGCGAGACGGATAAAGATTTCCTAGTCTTTGTCGATAAACTTTTCAACGTTATTACTTGCGGAGGTGTTGAGATTCGTGGTTTGAAAGCCAGTGCCATTGCAAGAAGGAAACCAGCTGGAGAACCAGTACTCGAGGAGTATAAATTCGTTCCACATCTCGATAGAGCAATTGTTGGGCTACGGGAAATAGCTCGGCTTGTAACTAATCTTGCTCTTGAAAATCAAATGGGCATCAAAGTTAAGACCCTTGAATTGTTAGAAGATTCTGATAATATTCCGTTTGAAAAATTGTTGTCGCCATTATTTGCTGAATCACTTGGTGATATACCATTGATTCAAGTAGATGCTAGTATTGTTAGCAGTAAATTAAATTTAGAAGGTCTATCTTTACCATCTAATGTATCGATCTTGGATCCGAAAAAAGTCACCAAAGATACAAGTGCACTTATTGCTGTTGGTCACAGATTGTTGTCTGCTGATCGTAACAATAATCTGAACTTATTACTTCAAGGATTAAAGGATGGTGGATTTTTGTTGTCTCGAGAAAACAAAAACGATCTAAACAATGTAGAAACAGCAGCACGTGAGAGAGGATTGCACATTATAATGGAAAAGAAATATGAAAATGAAGAATTAATTTTGTTTAAGAAGTTTGAGAAAGTATCAGATACAATTTCAGTTATTTACGTGGATAATGAGAAGTTCGATTGGGTTGAGAAAATGCGACAAGTCTTGTCGAAAGAACTGGAGAAAAAAAGCGGCACACCTTCCAGAGTTCTTTTTGTTGCTGAAGGAGATTTTGAAAATGGTACTTATACTACAACTGTTTCACTTTTAAGTTATTGATACTGAAATTACATAATTATTTTATATGTTTAGGGTTGATGGGATTCATTAATTGTTTGAGAAAAGAACCAGGTGGTGAAATAGTGCGAGGTTTCTTGATTCAAGATCTAAAAGCACCGAAATTTTCTCTGTCGGATACATTTTATACCAAACAATTGCAGAAAGATTTGGTAGTTAATGTTCTCCGTGAAAACGGAGTATGGGGTACATATAGACATTTACCTTTACCACCACTTGAGCCAAAATCCGTCAGACACGGTTTGGTCAAACAACAAGTACGTGGTGACTTGAGTTCATTGACGTGGATGGAAGGTCCAATTCAATTAGGACAAAATCACAATGAACTCGTACACATTGTTTACTCATCCATAAACTTCAAGTAAATGAAATTCACTAAAATTCAGGCTGAAACTGTTATAAAAATTTTTAAAATAATTTTTGTCAGGGATATTATGTTAGCAACCGGTAAACTTGCTGCCGAGGTTGTCACTGCAACCAGACAAGCTCAAGACTGTGTACTTGGTTTCGAATATAGTGGTATCCACCAATCTGGCAAGCGAATCATGGGTCTGATAGAAAGTCGCGCCATGACGAATCTTTGCATTGCCGATCCTAATTTGGCATGGGAGATACCAAACAATTGGACCTTGGAAGATGCAGCAACTGTACCTTGCGTTTACGCAACTTGCTATTATGCTTTCTATAAATACGGTACTGATAATTAAAAAGCTTTGAAAAACGTAAAAGATGATTTCGCGAAAAATATTTTTCACAGGCAAAATGAAGAAAGGTGATAAAATTCTAATTCACGCTGGAACGGGAGGCGTTGGCCAAGCTGCCATAAACCTCGCTTTGTTCGAAGGTTGCGAAGTATTCACTACCGTTGGTACTCCGGAAAAACGTCAATTCATTCGCGAAAATTTCCCACAAATTCGTGATGATCACATTGGAAACTCGCGTGACACGAGCTTTGAACGTATGATTATGAAACAAACAAATGGTAAAGGCGTTGATATTGTTCTTAATAGTCTTGCCGAGGAGAAACTGTTAGTGTCTGTTAGGTGTTTGGCATGGGGTGGTAGATTCTTGGAAATTGGCAAATTCGATCTTTCATCCGACAATCCATTAGGTATGGAATGCTTCCTACGTGGAATAAGCTTCAACGGTATTATGGTCGATCATGTGATTACTGCCGACAACGAAGAAAAAGCCGAATTATCAAAGATGGTTGCTAAAGGACTTAAGAATGGAGCAGTAAAGCCATTCGTAAGGTACATGTTAAAATATATCAAGTACAAGCGACAACGTACTAAAATGTTTTTGATATGCCAACACTATAGGACAGTATTCCCAAAAGATCAAGTTGAAGCTGCATTTCGATTCATGGCATCTGGTAAACACATCGGCAAAGTACTCATCAAAGTTCGCAATGAAAACGAGCCACTAAACAGTTTGATGATGGCTACGCCACGTTACCATTGCATGGATAATCGCAGTTATATAATCCTTGGAGGTCTTGGTGGTTTCGGTCTTGAATTAGGTAGGTCCTTTGATCTACTATTGCAACTCAAAATCAAAAATTAATGAATATCTTTTTATAAATTAAAACAGCTGATTGGTTGGTTCTTCGTGGCGCGAAAAATCTGGTAATAACCTCACGAACTGGATTGAAAAATGGCTATCAAAAGATGCGCGTTAGATTGTGGAAAGATTACGGTGTTAGAGTTGTTGTGATTTCCGGTAAAGATGCATCAAAACGCGAAGATTGCCAATCTATTCTTGAAACTGCAATAAAGTTAGCTCCTGTCGACGGTATATTCAACTTGGCTGTAGTACTGAAAGATGCCTTTTGGGACAATCAAACTCGAGAAACGTTCGAGGAATCATTCAAGACCAAAGCTTGGGCTACGAAGCACTTAGACGTTTTGACGAGGAAAATGTGCCCAACATTAAGGCATTTCATTGTATTCTCATCTGTTGCTTGTGGTAGAGGCAACGCCGGTCAAACTAATTACGGAATGGCAAATTCGGTAAGACACCCAAGCTCCTTAACTCTGCTTTAAGAATCGTGTTTAATGATAGAATTATATTTATAAAGGTGATGGAGCGAATTTGCGAAAGACGAGTAGCAGAAGACTTACCAGCATTGGCAGTTGAATGGGGTGCTATTGGCGACGTTGGTCTTGTTGCAGAGATGCACGAGGATCACAAAGAACTGGTTATCGGTGGTACATTACAACAAAGGATAACATCATGTCTATACGAACTCGATGGATTTATGCAGCAATCGCGTCCAATTGTGTCGAGCATGGTTGTCGCTGAAAAACGAGCTGGAAATGCTGATTCTACTAATGTCGTCGATATGGTTCTGAATATCATGGGTAACGTCAAATACTTTCAAATATTCCCTACATATGATACTGAAACATAACGCCATTACCATTATATTTTAGGCCTGAAAGATTTGAAGGGAGTAAGTCCTACGACGTCGTTGGCCGAATTGGGTATGGACTCAATGATGTCCGTGGAAATAAAACAAACTCTCGAACGAGAATTTGAAATATTCCTTACCGCCCAAGACATTCGCGGGCTCAATTTTAATGTACTCAAGGAATTATCAGAAAAGGACGCTGGAGGTGCCAAAAAAATTCAAGAAATTAGCTTATTAGCAAACACTGACGTCGTTCATGGACTGGGACTTTTGGTTCGCGTCGTCGGCAAGAAAGATCTTAGCCATGAAACGTGTTTTAAGTTACAATCAAAAAACGAAGCCGACAAGGAAGAAATATACCTTCTACCTGGTATAGAAGGTATGGGTAGTATTTTCGCGAACATTGCTCAGCGTATTAAGGCACCCGCTTCGTGTCTGCAATTCAACGTCAAGAGTAATAGCCGAACCATCTTTGATATGGCTGATGAACTTTTACCAGTAATTTTTAGCTTCCATTTTATTAAAATTGAACTTGAATAGTAGTAATGAAAATGTCATTGATTATTTTTCCAGCATGTACTAAAAAGAAATAAAAAACGTCGTCATTATACTATAGTTGGTTACTCTTACGGCGCCGTAGTTGCGATCGAGTTGGTAAGAAAATTAGAAGTGGCGGGTAAAGAGGTTCGATTAATTCTTATCGATGGCGCTCCCGAGCTTTTGAAAAATATCATAAGTCAGAATTTCTCATCGGAAACCGAAGAGGGTTTACAAAATGATGTTTTGCTGGGCATAGTGAATATGTTGGTTCCTCACAGTACACCAGAGGTAACGAAAAAATCTTTCATTCTATACAAATTTTTACCGTGTGTATGCAGTCATGAAAAAATGTTTGTAATTAGGTGGCAGCCGAGTTGCAAAAGTCTTCAAAGTGGGAAGATAAATTACACGCCATGATTTCACGTTTACCTTTCTCAAAAGAGGATACCTTATCATTTGACGAGCAAAAAGCAGTGACCACGGCTATTTACAATAGACTCTTAGCTGCGCAAAAACATGATATATCACAACTACCACGTATAAGGGCGCCAATTGTTTTGCTGAAGCCAATCGCGCCGACTGTACGTATGTCGGAAGAGGATTATGGTCTTTCTAAAGTAAGTATTTTTTCGCTAATATTGCAATTTTTCCATTTTATTATTTTGAGTATCATTTTCTTTTCTATTAATTTGATTTTTATTGATTTATTAAATTTTATGAGATATTAGCATTACTACATGAGTGGTAAAAATAGAAAAGGTACATAGAAAATAAGTTTATATTCCACGAAGACTTGATTTATTCGTTGTAAAAGTAGATTTAATTTATTAAAAAACTATTTTTAATGTATTGATTATTAAAGTTATACAGTGAAATTCAAATTTATTTATACAGTAAAATGATTATTGTCCTTTTTTTTAAGATTAATATTTTTTTTTAAATAAATTGTAATTAAAGAAAATGTTGATAATCATTATCATTAATATCTTATTAATATTAACGTTCAATTTTTATATAAATTACAAGGCGCGACTTTAACAATTAAAATAAAATTGTAATTTTCATGAACCAAATCAAGAAAATCATACATGCATCTTTGAAAAAATTTCCCAAAGAAAAAGGTGTATTCCGAATTCAATATTAACTGAACTCGATAATTATTCGGTAGAAAGCGATGAACGAAATTGATTGTATTTTTCTCTGACAATTTAATTTTCTTATAGCTTTCTTTTTTCAAGACACAAATCAAAATTTATAAGATGCTGTGACTATTTACAACAAGTAAAAATAATTGTTGTCATTGTTTTTAAGACTATTACATAACTACAATTAACATTTATTATTCATCATTTTCGTTAATACAACGTAAATTATTTTTAGGTAACGAGTAGTAAAGTTGAAGTACACAAGATTGAAGGCAATCATATAACTATGTTGGACAATGAAAAAGTTGCTGCAGTAATAAATGGAGATAATGTCGAAGATGTTTCTAAATTTAGAAAAGAAATAATGGTATAAAAATATGTACGATTACACTTTTTTTTTATTTCATAAGTATCTTTATGAAAACCTGAAAAAACTTTATAGAAAAAAATAAATGAATGCTTTTCGTGTATCCTGATATTTTTTTCATCCGACATATTTTTTCACAACTACATGTAGATAGGTAAATTAGATATTTTAGTGTAAAGAGTTTTTTGTAAATTGTAAGAGTATAAAATGTTAATGTCAAATAAAATCAGTTTATATATAGATGAAAAAAATGTCTTTCATTGTACATACCTTGAACCACAATCTACATTATGTTAAATTATTTACATACAGCAATTCAGTCACATTATAATAATCTACCTCGTTGATTAAAAATAATTATAGTAACTTTTAAAATATACGTACAAGATCAAAATATTCTCATAATGGTTAGATAGATAAACAATACTTTTATTTTAACATAATGCAAGAGAAATAATATATATACTAAACTGTATCTTCAATAACAAAACTTTATGATTGTTAGGATCAATTCTCAGGATAAGATAAAAACGATAATATTATTACAAAGATCGAAAAGTAGTAATAAAAAAATAGATTAGATATCGAGGAAAGCTGCAATGCATGATTTATATGCAGATTCGAAGCGACATCCGGCAACCCTTGACACTGGCCGGTTTCAACGCCAGCGCGTAGCCTCTTCAATGCATATTCATCAATGCTTACAGCGCCTCATAAGTTTTGTTTCGTATCTTGAAAAAAGAAAACTATAAAAAAAGTAAATTAACTGGAAAAAATACAATCGATTTGGTTCATCGCCCTTTATCGAATAATTACCAAATTACGTTAAGATTAAATTTAGGAAACGCTTTTTTCTTTGGGCAATTTTTTCAAAGATGTATGAGTGATTTTCTTGATTTGATTCATGGAATTTACAGTCTTATTTTGATTTATAAGTCCCACCGCGTAATTTATACAAAAATTTTACGTAAATTTTAGTAAGATATTAATGATAAAGATTATAAACATTTTTTTCAATTATAATTCATTCTATAAAGAAACATTACATTTCAATAATATAACATAATTAAATAGCATAGCATTGACATCATGAAGAAAAGCTAATATCCTACACCTCTTACACGTTTATACTCCCAGTTTCTTCGTTCTTCAAGTCACAAAATAAGTAGCATTAAGCGTGTGAATTTCAATTGTAGTCTTAGGGAAGCTCGACCGAGTCTCATAGCATCAGACCACGTCGATATTAAAATTTTTTACACAAGAAGCTTGCCATATGTCAGTTTTTCAGCACGTGATACGTCAATCGCCCGACAAATGATATTAACGATCTACAATAGTTCACCATTCATCAGCCAATGATCAAAGAGAATTATGTCATGTTCGAAACAGTATTTATTTGAAAATGGAAATGTTTTTTAAACTTAAATTGTGTTGGAAAACAAAAGTATTTTAATAATCTTGACAATAAGCAATCTTTTATATTTATCATTGTAGATATCAAAAACAGCAAATCCATGGGTTGGGTTTAAATTTAAGAGCTTATATTTTGCATTCCACAAGAAGTGCAATGAATACACTTTCAAACGTTTAGCAGCAGTAACAATATATTTCTTATGAGTAACGTCATTTTTATGTGTAACTTAAATTTAAGATGTTCGTATGACTTGATACTTTTGAAACTTGATAAAAAATATTATCGTTAAAATTTCAATAAAAAAAATAAGTACTATGTAATCAGTCATTTTCAAATACAATAATTTATGACGTGGAATTTAAAATAACTGCTGTAGGCAACGTTAATCTTATTTTTGAAAGCGATCAGTATTAAATTTTATGATACTACATTAATCTTCTTTTATAAAATATACATAATAAAAAATACAGGTTTTATTACAAAGTAAACTACTATTTGCTGGTTAAATTTGTGGATTACTGGCATTAGTGCCTACATGCGATATTATAATTTTGACTTATGTATCATCAAGACTGAAATAAAATATATGTAAAATCGTTAAGTAACTTCCGAAGGGTTAGTTGAAAGTTAGTTGAAGCAATGACTTTTCGGTATGACATTTTATTTAAATTTGAAAAAAATTAATTAAATAAATGGAAATCACTAAAATGATCTTTAGCGATTATGCCAAGAGTTACAAATAATATATAGATTAAAATAGTTAGTCATGAGCAGACACGCGATACTGATTACAAAAGGAATTGCATACTTATAAGTGATCTGTTTAAATACAATACAAAATAAATTGCGCAAAGAGACGAAAAAATGCAACAAGAGGCATTGTGCAACCAATGCCAGAAGCCGCATACATCTGATGAAAAAAAACTTTGGAAGTTCAAAGATCGACGTTACGAGCTTTTAAGTCAAATATTCGATAAAAATCTTGCTTATTATTTTTGTTTACATATTAATTAAAGCTGTTTTAAATGCTGACATAAAAATAAAATCTATTTATAAATAAATTGCCGACTGTTGATCTTTTCTAATTTTCAAATTCCATAAAAATCTACAGTTTATGAGACAGTAAAGATGCTATTGCGATACGGAAAATTGAAAATCAATTTGAGTGCATACAATTAAACTGGACGTTGGGCATGGAGGAACCGCCGTCATATAAAAGACCCCACTCTACCGACTGAACGTTTAGTCGCGTGCTCCCGGTCCTTTGCATACAACATTGAGTCAAGCGGGAGCCGCTTTTATTCCAAATTTAAAACCTTCAAGGATTTGCATTACAAAAAGTGCGCGTTTCTTTCGTAGACAGAACAAAAGTGTTCCGTGTTGGTGCGCTGAGTGTAAGCGAAGATTACATTGGTTGCTTGAAAAAAGGGCTAAGGAGTGCGCGACCAGCATCAATAGAGTGAATACTTTCTTTATACCCTTTTGAAGAAAAGAAAAGACAAAATGACGTTAAATGCGGAAGCACCGAGGAAGCAGTTCAGGGTAGCAGCCGAGGAGGAAATTGTCATCAGTGGTATCGCTGGTCGATTTCCTGACTCCAATAACATGACACATTTTCAAGAAAATCTTATGAATAAGGTCGACCTGGTTACCGATGATGACCGACGCTGGAAATTAGGTATAAATTTTTCTGTTTCAAATTATATCGCGTTGATTTTTTTATATCCACGCGAAACTGTAGAGTTTATGTTAATCGATGAATATGTCAATGATTACATTGAATATCCAATTAACTAACTTAGCAATTAGTATTTTTTAATTATTATAAATTTTATCTCACTCGTGAATCACACATTGAAATATGTAAATAATTCCAGTTATTTCATTATCAGTAGCCAAATGAATAAAGTTTTTGAAAAATGAAACATTTTTGGGCAAAACTTACCAAATATTTGAAATATTATTTTTAAATCCACATTATTAATGATCATTTTCACTTTTTGCTACGTGACGAATTTCCTTTCGGTATATATGATTGTCAGCAAAAATTTAAATAGCTTAATAAAAATTGATCGAAAAAGCAGCATTAGGCTTTTATACTTTTACATAATGTAGACTTTTATCGCGCTAAACTATTTATTTTTAATGATTACTTTGAATTTATTATCACAATATTTGTATTATATCGTTTCTATATAGCACAACTCGTCAAAAACAATTATTAGGACAATTTTTATTATAATTCTATCGATGTAAGAGGTTAAATGAGTCCGTAAAATCTCTGCAAAATCAAACATTCTGTTTACTATTATTTTTATAATAATGTTATTAACGGGATATATTTTTAGTTATCAATTATAAAATTAATTTTCGGTAAATCAAATTATTTATTTGGAAAGTAATGCTGAAAAATTTATTACAATATTAAGACAAACGTTATTATTTATTAATTTTTTTATATTCAGGAAGCGATAACAATACATTAAGTAGAAATTCTTACTTTGCATAATAATAGACAAACTAATTATATAGTTCACAAGCTTATTAATAAGTTCCGAATATTCTAGCTTTAATAATGAAAAACAAAATCAGATAGGTTATTGTGCAAGAACCGCTATTTCCTCGATTGTCGTGAATTCTTATGAGATATTTTTGCATAACACAGAAACAAAGAAAAAAATTTTAAATGAAACTTGACGTAAGACTGTGAACACTCTTAATGAATAATTATTTCGATTTCCTAGTCAAAAACACAGTAGTACACAATTCGTTATTTAGTACACAAATAGTTAGTAAGAACCAAATTTATGTTTAGTTAACGATATAAAATAAAAAAATTATTTCCATCGTTATCCAGATCATCCTGAAATTCCACAAAATACGGGAAAAGTAAACTTTGTGGAAAAGTTTGATGCGGTGTTTTTCGGTGTGCATTTCAAACAAGCCCATACCATGGATCCCATGTGTCGTATGTTGTTGGAGCATGCTTACGAAGCTGTCATTGATGCCGGTATCAACCCTAAATCATTACGAGGTACGAGGACTGGTGTCTTCGTTGGCGCTTGTTTCTCGGAATCTGAAAAAACCTGGTTCTACGAAAAATTGCAGGTAAACATTTTTATTTTTCAACATACTAACGTATGTCTTCCAAATCAATTGTAACTAATTAATCAATATGTATTGAAATAAAGCTCGAGTGGAGAAAGTTAAATTCTTTTGTAAACTTTTTGTTTCTGAAATAAATTATTTTAGAATCCGAATTCATTGTAATTACGTCATTTTTTCAGTTTAGGCTCTAACAAAACAAATGTGTTTTCAAGCATATTATTCATAAAATAATTTCAATTCCTATTGCCATAAGATTTGTTAATGTAAACACACAAGTGAAAGTTAATTTTTCCTATTACGTTACACATACATATTCAACCGGAAATAAATATTCATGGCTTACTTCTTGTTTTCAATTTTAAATTTATATTCCGTGTGTATAGTGAGCGTTCAATACTGTCGTGAGAGTTATATAACTTAAACGTTAATAATTCTGAGTTTAATATAAAGTACAATGTTTTTCAGCAAATATTCGTTACAATTAAATCACCTAGATTGCAAAATATGATCTGTATTAATTTCATATTTATAAAACTCAAATAGAACCAACATCGTTGGTAACTTACTGTACATGTGAACATCAAAAGTGTATATCCGCGGAAAAGCGTCTTACGTCACCTTGCAATGAATTTTGGCTATTTTGCAATAATCGATTTGCATTTGCCATTTTTCAAAAAATTAAGTGAATCATTATTTTTATGATTTTTCATTCATAGCATGATGATTTTCAAAAGTAAATATAGATTTGCAAAAAATTGCGTAGTATCATAAAACTAATTTTCCGTTATCAAACGAGGCTCGTGATTTGTTTTACTCGAAAATGATTCGATGTTCCCAGGTAAATGGTTTTGGTATCACCGGTTGCAGTCGTGCCATGTTGGCAAATCGTATCTCGTACTGGCTAGGCGTAACCGGACCAAGTTATGCGGTCGACTCGGCTTGCAGCTCAAGTTTGTTCGCCATGGAACACGCCTACCGTGCGATTCGCGATGGCCTCTGTGACGCTGCTCTTGTAGGCGGTGCTAATCTTTGCCTCCATCCTTACGTCTCGCTGCAGTTCTCTCGACTTGGTAACTGTCGTTTGGAATTTGATACCTTTGTTTCAAATTACAATTGCATATAAACTCACTTCCGAATCTCACATTAGGCGTACTGTCCCCGGATGGTCGTTGCAAGTCGTTCGACGAGTCGGCTAATGGTTACGCTCGTAGTGAAGCCATTTCGGTGATTCTACTGCAAAAGGCTAAAGATGCAAAACGGATCTACGCCACAGTGGTTCATGGTAAAACCAACTGCGACGGTTTCAAGGAGCAAGGTATCACCTTCCCTTCGAGTGTCATGCAGAGCGTATTGCTGAAAGAATTTTACGACGAGATTGGCATCCCACCTACGAGTCTAAGTTACATCGAGGCTCACGGAACTGGTACTAAAGTCGGAGATCCTGAAGAGATAAATGCCCTTGATAAAGTATTTTGTACCGGGCGTAAAGAACCGTTATGGATGGGGTCAATCAAGTCCAACCTGGGACATTCCGAACCTGCTAGTGGTCTTTGTTCTATTGCTAAGGTATGCTCAGCATAATTGATTTGAATTTCGTTCAAAATATAATAAATAGAAGAATTATATTCTTATACTCTGTAGGTAATCATTGGTATGGAATCGGGTCTGATCCCTCCCAATCTCCATTATAATAACACACGAAAAGGTGTAAAAGCTTTGGAAGAAGGCAGATTAAAGGTTGTAACTGAACCAACTCCATGGAAAGGTGGTCTTGTTGGTGTGAACTCATTTGGTTTCGGAGGTGCAAATGCTCACATCTTGCTCGAATCCAATAAGAAAGAAAAGATCAACCATGGACAACCGAAGGATGACTTGCCGAGATTAGTCGCTGTTTCCGGCCGTACACAAGAGGCCGTCGACACTATTCTCTACGATGTCAGTATTTTTTTAAATATGAAAGTTTTAATACTTACTCTAAATGATGTGACTATTTTTTACAGATTGAGAACCGCTTATGTGACGTGGAGTACGTACGTCTGCTACACGACGTTCACTCTGAAGATATCAATGGACATCTTTACAGAGGTTATACAATTTTGCCACCTAAAGGATTGCCAGAAAAAAAGATCAGAGAGATTGAGAATTTTGTAGGAGACAAGAGACCCGTATGGTTCGTCTTCTCTGGAATGGGATCTCAATGGCCTGGCATGGGTAAATTGAAGAAATAATAATTGCTATGTACGTGATACTAACATTTTTTTTTTTGACAGGAGAGTCATTGATGCGCTTGCCAGTATTCGCCGAGTCAATTAAGAATTTAGATACTATAATGAAACAACGTGGTGTTAACCTCATTAAAATCCTTACAAGTAAGGATCCCAAAACCTTTGACAATATTCTTAATTCATTTGTTGGAATTGCCGCTATTCAGGTATGTAACAAATCTTATTAAGTTATAAACATAAAAAAAACGCTTTAATATTTCACAGATCGGTCTCGTCGACGTATTACGTCATGTTGGCATCGAACCGGACAACATAATCGGTCACTCGGTTGGAGAATTAGGTTGCGCATATGCTGATGGTTGCTTTACTGCCGAACAAATGATCCTGTCAGCTTATTCCCGTGGTCTTGCTTCCGTCGAGACTAAAGTTATACATGGCTCCATGGCTGCTGTTGGTCTTGGATGTCAAGAGCTTAAAGATATGTGCCCACCAGATATTGAAGTTGCATGTCACAATGCAGCTGACAGCGCAACCATTAGTGGACCTGCAGAGTCCATGAAGGCTTTCGTTGCTAAGTTACAGGTAAAACTTACTTTAAATATGTAGAAAAGAAAAGGAATCGAAACTAGAGCAGCACCTAGATTTGAAATTTGATTTTTAGGCTAACAACATCTTTGCCAAAGAAGTACCATGCAGTCATATCCCATATCACAGCCGTTATATCGCACCAATGGGACCTAAACTTCTCGCCTATCTGCAAAAAGTTATCCCCAACCCAAAACCTCGAAGCTCCAAGTGGATTAGTACTTCAGTACCTCAGAGCAAATGGGATTCTGCTGCAGCTCGACTCTCTTCTGCTGAGTATCACACCAACAATCTTCTGAGTTCAGTTTTATTTGAAGAGGCTTCGACTGTGATTCCCCAGCACGCCATTGCTATTGAGATCGCTCCTCATGGTTTACTTCAAGCTATTTTGAAACGTTCTCTTGCACCTACCGTGGCTAACATTCCACTGACAAGAAGAGGTCACGAGGATAACGTTGAGGTGCTACTTCAGGGACTTGGAAAAATGTACAATGTCGGGCTTCAGCCTCAATTGCGTATGTATATTTGCGATATTCAAAAGTTCCAATTAATTTATAAGTTAACAATCAATTCTATATTTTGTATTTAGACAAATTGTACCCCCCTGTGGAATACCCAGTAAGTCGCACAACTCCCATGATTTCACCACTGATCAAATGGGAACACTCCGAAGATTGGTACGTCACATCTTATCGTATGCAAGAAAAGATCACTTCGGGAGAACGTATCGTCGAGGTGACACTCGCCGACGAGGACTTCGAATTCGTTGCCGGTCACGTGATAGACGGTAGAAATCTTTTCCCTGCCACTGGATACTTGGCCTTAATTTGGGAAACTGTTGGTATGATGCACGGAGAATTGTACACCGAAGTATCCATTGTATTTGAAGATGTCAAATTTTTGAGAGCTACCACGGTACCTAAGGATGGTATTGTTGAATTTACCTTGATGGTTCAGAAAGGTTAGCTAATCTCTACTTCAAGAGAATTAAAGATCATTTTGTATTCACAATAATCAACTAAAATAATGTTTCAGGTTCTGGACGCTTTGAAGTGGTTGAAGGTGGAGTAGCGGTAGTAACTGGTTACGTGCGTACCACTGAAAATCCAGCTAAAGAGAAGATCAATCCTGCTTTCATACAGGACAACAATGAGGAAGAAGTAATGTCTTTGCGTGATATTTACAAAGAATTGAGACTTCGTGGTTATCATTATAGTGGCTTATTCCGTGGTCTAAAGAGTGCCACGACCAAAGGTACCAAAGGACGTATTGCATGGAATAATAATTGGGTTGCTTTCATGGATAACATGCTGCAAATGCAGATTGTTGGTAGCGATACGCGTGGTCTTTTCGTACCTACTGGTGTTCAAAAATTAATTATCGATACTAAAAGCCATTTGAACATCATTCGTAGTATGGATGACGACCATAGAGGTGCGTTAAATTTAAATTTTATGAGATTTTTAGCTTTGTTTTACATAATAGTCTAATCAATTAATTTGATTTTTAGAATTCCCTGTTTACGTTAACAAGACATTCGACGTGATCGTTTCTGGTGGTGTAGAAATCCGTGGTCTCAAGGCTAGCGCTATTCCACGAAGGAAACCAGCAGGAGAACCAGTCCTTGAGGAATATAAATTTATTGCCAATGCCGACCGAGTAAATATTAGCCATCGCGATATTGTTCGCTTGTCCACGCATATTGGTCTAGAAAACCATTTAGGTATCAAGGTAAAGACTCTGGAATTGCTTGAAGAATCCGACAAAGTGTCCGAAGAAGATATGCTATCGTCACTTATTTTCGAAGCATTAGGTGACATGCCATTAATCCAAGCGGACGTTACGATTATCAGTAACATCGCCTTCGAAGATGGTGTTATATCGTCTCACATTTCCGTTATTGAACCGAAGAAATTGAGCAGTGACGTGAATGCAGTTATGGCTGTTGGTCACAAACTTCTGACACCTAAGCGATCAGCTAATCTGAGCTTATTGATGACTGCTGTAGAGAACGGTGGCTTTTTATTGACGAGAGAAGATGAAAATCTCGATAACGTAGAACAAATTGCAAAGAGTAAAGGCTTACACGTAATTTTGGAGAAAAAATCTGGCAAGGAGCTGTTTGTACTGCTTAGAAAGTTTACTAGAGCACCGAGAAAAACTGTGGTTATCCACATTAATAATGACAAGTTCGACTGGGTTGATGAGATGCGCAAGATTATGACTGAAGAGCTTGAGAAAGAAACTGCTAATACCGTAAGGATTGTCTACGTTGGTGAAGGATTCGAAAGTGGTAAATAACTGAATTTTATAAAATAAATTTTAAGTTTTCTGAATGACTCAATGACTAAACGCGTAAAAATTTTAGGTCTGATCGGTTTCATCAACTGTCTGCGAAGAGAAGCTGGTAGCGAAGTGGTTCGTGGAGTATTCATTCAAGATCCCAAGGCACCGAAATTCTCGCTACAAGATCCATTCTACTCCAAAGAACTGGCAAAGGACTTAGCATGTTCAGTAGTAGGGCCTAACGGAGTCTGGGGTAGTTATCGACATTTGCCATTGCCGCCACCTCATCCGAAACCTGCCAACCACATTTTTGCTAATCAATTGATAAGAGGTGATCTGGGATCTTTGTGTTGGCTTGAGGGACCTTTCCAAGTTGGTTTCAAGGATGATGGCCTAGTCAATGTTGTATATTCGTCGATCAATTTTAAGTAAGACGTTTGTTTTTGTAATAAAATTAATCTTTAAATAACAACACAAACTATAAAGCTAACATAAAATTATCTAGAATTATTATTTAGAATTTACTTTTACGTAAGAATAAATTGATGTTTTTTAGAGATGTCATGTTAGGAACCGGTAAGCTTGCCGTAGAAGTTGTAGCCAAGACTCGTCAACTGCAAGAGTGCGTCCTCGGTTTTGAATACAGTGGTGTAACGATTAATGGCAAAAGAATAATGGGTATGATTGAGAGTCGCGCGATGACAAATATTTGCATAATGGATCCATACCTTACCTGGGAAATTCCTAAAGATTGGTCCCTAGAAGATGCTGCTACTATACCGTGCGTCTATGGAACTTGCTACTATGCACTGTACATTACTGGTAAGTTTCTTAGGTAGTTTTAAGGAGTTTTTTTGGACATTAAAATGACTCACCAACTTTGCTAAATTGTCACAGGTAAGATGAAGAAGGGCGATAAGATTTTGATCCACGCTGGTTCCGGTGGCGTTGGTCAAGCTGCTATCAATCTCGCTTTGTATGAAGGTTGCGAAGTTTTCACAACCGTAGGTACACCAGAGAAGCGTCGCTTCATTTTAGACAACTTTCCACAAATCCCCGAGAGTCACATTGGCAATTCTCGTGATACAAGCTTCGAACAAATGGTCATGAGAGAAACAAACGGTAAAGGTGTTGACATCGTTCTGAACAGTCTTGCCGAAGAGAAACTTTTGGCTTCGGTTAGGTGTCTTGCACCGGCTGGTCATTTCTTGGAAATCGGTAAATTTGATTTGGCTGCTAACAATCCATTGGGTATGGAATGCTTCTTGAACGAAGTAAGCTTCCACGGTGTCATGTTGGATAATTTATTTGGTGATACGAGCGAAAAAAAAAGATCACTTAGGGATAAGATGGCTGCTGGTTTGAAAAGTGGAGCTATCAAGCCACTCACTAGGTAAAGATTACATTAATTCTAAAACTCATGCTCTCCTTTCACTGTACGACAGAAATTTAAAAATAATTTTTTCTCAAAGGACGGTATTCCAGAAAGACCAATTGGAACCAGCGTTCCGTTTCATGGCAGCCGGTAAGCACATCGGTAAAGTAATCATCAAAGTGCGCGAAGAAAATGAACCAATCAATACACCAATGATGGCTCTTCCAAGATACAACGCTCTGCCGGGACACAGCTACATTATTCTCGGTGGTCTCGGTGGTTTCGGTCTCGAATTAGGTACGACTTATTCATATCTACTTCATTCGAGTTTCCAAGATAATTTGAAATCTGACTGTATAATTACGACGTAGCCGACTGGCTGGTACTCCGCGGTGCTGAGAAATTGGTGATCACCTCACGTACGGGTATCCGTAACGGCTACCAGAAAATGCGAGTACAATTGTGGGAGAGCTATGGTACGAAGGTAGTGATCGTCGCTGGTAAAGACGCCTCGAAACGCGAAGACTGTCAATCAATCATCGAAATAGCCAACAAACTTGGACCGGTCGACGGTATTTTCAATCTGGCGGTCGTTTTGAAGGATGCCATCTGGGACAATCAGACACCAGAAACCTTCGAAGAATCATTTAAATCAAAAGCTTGGTCTACTAGACAATTGGACGTGCTGACGAGGAAGTTTTGCCCAAAATTAAGACATTTTGTTGTCTTTTCGTCGGTGTCTTGCGGTAGAGGAAATGCTGGACAAACGAACTACGGAATGTCGAACTCAGTAAGTTTCTTTCTCGAAATAATCACGAGCATGAATAATAATACGAAAATTTATATCTGTTGTAGGTCATGGAAAGGATTTGCGAGAGAAGAAAGGCAGAAGGTCTTCCTGGCTTGGCAATTCAGTGGGGTGCCATTGGAGACGTCGGTCTAGTTGCTGACATGCAAGAAGACAACAAAGAATTGGTCATCGGTGGTACTCTTCAACAGAGAATATCTTCCTGTCTTCAGGAACTCGACGGTTTCCTACGTCAAGATGCTGCCATTGTATCCAGCATGGTTGTTGCTGAGAAAAGAGCAGGTAGCGGTGGTTCTACCAATGTCGTCGACACCGTACTCAACATTATGGGTAAATGCATAGAAAATTAAGTAACTCTATTTATATATCCAACACTTATGCGAGAAATGATGATGGTTAACAGGTTTAAAGGACTTAAAAACTGTGAGTCCACACACATCTCTTGCTGAACTTGGAATGGATTCTATGATGGCCGTGGAAATCAAGCAAACTTTGGAGCGTGAGTTCGAAATCTTCCTTACGGCTCAAGATATTCGTGGTTTGAACTTTGCTAAGCTCCAAGAGATGGCAAAGAAAGACGCAGACGCCAATAAAAAACGTGGAGGTGACGGTGGTGACGGTGGTGAGATACTCACTGGTCTCAAATTACTGGTGCGTCTCGTTGGTAGAACCGATGTCAATCCCGAAATCTGCTGTAATCTTGCCACCAAGAACGAAGCTGATCGAGCTGAAGTATTCCTTCTGCCTGGTATCGAAGGCATTGCTACTGTCTTTGATGAACTTGCACCTAAGATTAAACCACCAGCTTGTTGCTTGCAAATGGGTTCCGACAGCAAGTCCCAAGAATCTGTTACGGTTATGGCCGATAAAATGCTGCCCGTAAAAAGTTTTATTATTCATTAATTTGATGTTTGTTTTAAAATTTTTACTGACAATTTTTTTTCTTTCAGTATATTCTAAAGAGAAGAAATGGCCGGAACGATTTTACGATCGTTGGTTACTCATTCGGCTCGATGGTTGCTATCGAACTTGTTAGAAGATTAGAGGCAGAGGGACTTAGTGGGAAGCTCATTCTTGTTGATGGTTCACCCGATCTCATGAAAGATATCGAAGATCAACAATTGTCTTTTAATAACGAAGATGAATTGCAGAGTAACGTACTTCTTGGTATGATGGACATGATTTCGCCAAATATGAGTGCTCAGGTAAATCAAAAATTATATTTTTAATTGAATACATCTCAAAGAAAGTAAATTAACGATGAACTTACCGTTTTATAGTTAGTAGTAGAACTGGGTAAATGTACAAACTGGGATGAGAAGCTGGAAGCTTTCTTGTCGCGAGTACCAACTAAAGAAGAATCAAACATCAGCATGGGTCGTGAAAACCAAGCGGCTCTTTGTACATCCATCTACAAGCGATTAATCGCAGTTAAGAATTACGATGCGTCTGACTTGCCGCCACTTAGAACACCCATTACCCTTCTTAAACCCACTGCGCCAACGTTACGCAGTGGTGCTGAAGATTATGGTCTCTCGAAGGTATTTATAGTTTGCAATTGTTACAAGCAACGTTGATTATTTGATAATTATTTAAAAAATGTTATTTTATTTTTTAGATCACGAGGGAAAGAGTAGAGATCCACTACGTTGACGGTAATCACGTAACGATTCTTGACAACAATAAAGTTGCTTTAGCTATTAATGGTGAAGCTATCGAAGATGCCGAAGAGTTCAAAGCACAAATTATGACAGGCGATGTCGCAAATAGAGCGACGAGCCTTGTCTAATATTTTTTTATGTTTTAATCCTGTGAAATTTATGTAGGATAAAAAAAAGGGACCTTTAAGAACAACCTAGTACTAATTAGTTTTAATGTTAGTTTTCAGTTAGACATTAAAGAATTGAAATTTGATGATATTATTTCGTCAAATACATTTTGGATGATTGTGATCAATATAGTCAAATGTTTAAAAATTAGATGAATCTCATTAGTTACAAGTTATGTAACTGAAAGTTTAAGGAATCGCTCAAATGGCAATTTTAGAGAGACAATCAACTTAGCAATTCAAGCATGTACTTTAAAACAGTTATATAATTTGCTTTCATAATTTGATTGTAGAGAAGCTAAATTATTAAAATTAGTAATGTAATAATTATATTTAGAAAAAGAAAGTATTTCAATTGAATAATAATATTTGGGGAATAGCTAAGTATTTAGAAAGCAACACTAATGTTAAAGGAATTATTTAGAAGAAAATAGTAGCAATGTTAAGTTTAAATGCAAGCCAATAAAACAAAATTTTATTCTATAAATTTGTTTCGTTTCAATCATAAACATATCCTATACCCTCAAATGATTAAGTGATATTTTTAGTATGACAATTTTTCTTAAATGGTTTGTTATGTAACATCGAAATTTATATTTATAACAATTGTAGGAAAAGAATGAAAAACTTTTATTACTTTTATTAGCAAAGATTTTTTTTTATTGCACGACCTCCATTGTTTGCAGCAATTATTGGTATTCAGTTAAAGTAAAAAGATACCATAAAAATTATTTACAAAAGCTTAAATTCTATACCACAAAAATCTTGAATTCATTATACAGGCCGTGACAAACTTTAAATCCACAACTCATTCTTTTGGACTCTGCTATATTTACATTAATAGATAGCAATTCTTACACACTTACATTAACGCATGCTCATACTTAGAAAATGTTTATAACCAAATATTTAATCGATCCACAAAAAATTCATTTGTTTTCGAACGGGTAGTTTACAAATTGTCGGCGATGTTAATGAAGCTAATATACAAAAATTTTATTTTTGAACAAAATGTATGAAATCGTATAAAAATTATGATTTCTGTAGAAAAGTTCACTTTTAAATTGTTAATTAACTAATTTTAAGTAATGTTAATTAACTAAATCAATTTAAATCTTCGAGTAACTATTTGCTGTTTTAATTTCACTCACTTACGCACGTTATATATATGATTTTCGCTAAATTCTTTCTCAATGATAATTTTTTAAAGATTTGATCATTAAAACATTCCGTTAGTTTATACACGACAATGATATGAAAATTCATATGTGATGATGAAAAATGATGGATCATAAAAAACATAATAGGAACTTAAAGGTCCATTGGTTCCAAAGCTGGATCATTACTAATAACATCCATTGTCTGATTCAAGTCTGGAATGCTTTCGTTGTTGTTATTTTCATTGGTGTTCATACTATTATTATTCCCTGATGGTGGTATCGGAGAAGGCGTTGGAGTATCTCTTGGAGTAGGTAAAAGACGTAAATGTTTACTTGGTGGTTCCCAAAGAACTAAAGCCATGGAGGGCCGGTCCCTGAAAAAGAATACCTGTAGCTCTAGCTTTACTTTCCCCAAAAAATTTTCTTTTGAGTTTTTTTCAATTAAATAAAAATCAAGATTTAATAAAAATTGAAAAGTGCAATTAAATTTTCTTACAACAAAATTTTCATTCTAGATACTCAAATAACACTCAAATACTTACAATTTTGAAAGTAAACTTGAAGGAAGAATTGGATCTGTTTGTATATTTTTCAGTTCATCTGATATTATTAGCCTAGGTTGTATTTTATTTTCATCTATCTCTACTGTCTTTGTTATGTCAACATCTACACTACTAGGCTTAACGGTATTTGACAAAATGCTTGTTGTTGATGTTGATGGACCAGCTTCTTGTGCAATGAATGTATTATTACTTATATGCATATCTTGAAAGTGTTGAGTCATTTTTTCTTCAGTAATAAGTTGTTTCCTTGGATGGCTAAAACAACAGCAGAATAATACAATTAGATTTAAAAAAAATAAAATTAATAGTTTAATCAAATTGACATATTATATAATTAATTACCAGAAATCAACAACATCAGGTGTTGCCATCTCCCACTTCCGTTTTCCATGGAGTTCAGCTTTCATATTGGAAGCTGTATTACTAAAGCGAACCAAATCTGGTTGTTGAGATGCTGGCATAGCCCATGGCATTGTCATTCGAGGAACTTCCGTAGGGACATTCCAGGGTATCCATTGAGCTTGTTGATGGTTCATGATAGGTTGGAACATGGACCGTGGCTTATGAAGCTGAGTCCCACCCATGACATTCTGAACCAGATTTAGGGGTGCTGAGTAAAATTGAGTGGACATATCTAGCATAGAGCAGAAAGATTTAGAGACAATCTATGATACTTTGTTTTATAATTGAAAATATCTAATTTCCAACTAACATAAAAAATGCTTTTTATGAAAAACAACTAAATGTAAAAGTGGTTTGATCGTATGATTCTGATACATTTGCCTAAGTTATAAAACATTTACCTATATCTGTCTCAATAATCTTTAGCCAAATTTTATTTCAAAACACCATCTAAGATAAATATCAAACAATCCAAGGAAAATGTAAGTTAACCTCCTGCAACTACAGATGCATACATTTTTCAAGCTTATTTATATTATGATGATTTTGAAATTTATTAGAAGGTGCATTGAAGTTTATTTTTATAAGTTATTTACTTACTGGCATCGAAAGCACCCTAGGCGCTTCTTCACTCGACTCGGTATCCAGATCAAAGCTTACTAAATAAATGCACTTTTCTAGAAATCTCGTACGACTTTTTCACTCAATTAACTTGACTCAGTAGAACTCCTTTTTTCTGTTAATAACTCTTTTTAACTGATTTTCACTATGAGAAAATACCCTCTTATATCTTTATTTACATGAAATAACCGATTAATTCACTACAAAACTACAGGATTTTAACAATAACGAAGCGACGTAATGAATGATGGCATACATATAAGCAGTACAGCTCAGTACAGGCTACAGACTGCTATCTTGTTCCGTGCTTTTCTGTCTAAAACATAACAAAAGTTCTTACCTTCGAGTGTACCTACATATAAATACATACGTCGTATTTATATACATTAGTTCTACAGTATGCGTGTGCGCTTGCGCAAAAAGACCTTTCCAGTAATTTCATCTTAGTTCTCGGCTGATCGTGAAAAATATAGTGCGTACCGCTCGTCTGCCCGGACATTAATTCGCGACCCGCGAAGTTTAAAATCTAAATCATTTTCTCGACGATTGAGTAATATTGATGGCATCAAATCGATTTTTTCCGGCAAGTTGTAAGAGAACAAAATACCAAAATAAGTTCTTCTAAGCTCGTTCAGTGTCGTCGAGGTTCAATTGTCGGAACTAATTAGGATTTTTTACTTCATTGATTGTGAATTAATGTCCGGACAGAGTACATATGCATATGTCTTGAGCATATAAATAAATGTTGTCATGAATTTCTGTTGAGTGCAATGTGTATTGCAACTTTTGGTAAATTTAGGCCAATAAATTATAATAATTTTCGATTTACATGTCATTAGATCGTTAGATTTTTGGAGCTTCAGTATGATGTAATTTTCTAAATTCTTAATTAATCTAAATCTTACCTTATATATTTAGGCAAAAATCGCAAAAACGTTCATTTAAAAAAAATATTTTCATTGCAAAAACTGCTCTGGTACAATATATTTTAGAATCGTACAACAATGTCAACAATATGTTGATTATTTTATTCTGGAAAAAATTGCCAAAAGAAAAAAAATACCTGAAACCAAACCACACACACTTTATTACAAGCGTTAATAAGTTAAAAAACAAGTGCAACAAGCGAATCAATCAAAAGATCGCGCGCGTAGAAACGAAAAAGAAAGTGAAGAAAGCGCTCTTATCGAGTTATTCTCAAACTAGTGAGAACGACGTGAGAAGGAGGCAGGAGCTAGGGTGAGGAGAGGGTCGATAAAGCAGTGTAAGCAAGCTCGTCGTCAGCAGCTCGATTCAGCAGCAGCGCAGCACTCGCGGGACGCTCTCGCAGCCGCCGCTCGTCATTGTCACATGTATGTACACCGTGCGGGACGATCACCGTCGCCGCCGCCGTCGTCGGCAGGTGTGATTGTTGAGAAGATAGTGTGAGATGAACACGGAGGTATTGAGCGGCTGCAACGAGCAGAATCGTTGGGCCGATTTTTGCGACAATCAAGCACGAGCCGCGGCCGCCGAATTCGCCAGGTCGTTTTGCCACTATGTTAATGTGGAGCTCAGTGAAGCTGCCCGAGCCAATCTCTCTTATCGAGACTTCCTGCGGCGCTTCGTCGAGAGCTTCTGCGAGCATTTTGAGGCCGAGTACCTTAGGCGTACTGCCAAGTACGTATGCACGATTAATATTACTTCATTTTGTTATTATCGTCGCAACACGACACGACGGGTGGCTATTTTTGCGACTCTCGCAGACAACATTGCCAGGGGATGCTTTAGTTTTCTTCTTATTTTTTTTATGTCTCCACGAGGATTTAGGACAAGTAGTGTAAAATTTTAACGTCCAGCATCAAGTTACAAGTTTTAGTTACAACCATGTTTAAATACTAGATTATTTTTATCAGAATTAGTTCTTAATGATTGTTAGTAGGGATTGAACAATTAATGTATTGAAGTTTATCAATAGTAGTTATATACAAAAGTGCTATTCATAAGAGAATTCAGGAGGGAATAAAAGACATGATGCAGTACAATACACTTGATTACTGATGGGGAATCATTAATTTGTAATTGTCCCACTTGAAGCTGTCTTGTATTAGAAGTCATCAAATTCACTTGTGGCTCACTTACCAATCATTCCACTTTCAGACATGACATAGTATATGTGAATCAGCTTACTGCATGTTTTACACGTTTAATAAATGCATTATGTGTTATCATTTTATAAATCAGTTTAAGTTTCACTTATGGCAGTCAATATGATTGCTTTTTATTTGTAAAATAGTAATTTTATTTGTTAGGTTTTTCAATGTTAAATTAAATTGAATTTTATGATATTTTTTAACAATGAAAGCTACTTTTTACGTCAACTTAGCAGCTCAAAAAGCAGGCCAGACTTTCCTTATGAAATTGTCAAAAATCAAATTAAAATCATAATCAGTACACATTGATTATTCAAAAGATAAGATAACAGACTTTTTCTCTATTACTTTCTTTTCTCTTTGTATACCAGTCATAATATTATCTGAATCAATTTGTGCTCTATCTTTCTGAAATTCACATTGGAATTTCAAATGATAAATTTGAATCATTGACCTGATTGTATAATGTTAGTGTTGGCTTCATAAACTTGTCAAGCATTGAATTCAGTTTTAGTTTCTTTTCAAAAGCAAACAGTTCAATTTTGCCAAATTAAAATAAGATTTTAAATTGTCCAATCATCATACGCATTTAATTAAAATCAATACTTTATATCTGGATTCTTATAGATGTATAATCATACTAATATTATTCTAATTCAAGATCACCAACAAATGATATAAACTCCAGACAAGCCTTAACCGATTATGAAGGTAACTCAACAAATCAAAACAACAGAAAACCAGTGCGAACATCGTCCCATGAAGAGTTCAGTGATTACTCCGAACATGATGGTGAAGTTATATCACCAAAACCCGTGCATAAGCCGTTCTTCAGACGTTTATCATTCAAAGGTCTCAAAAAGGGTAAAGGCCTATTCCACAAGCAGCAGAGCGACGAGGTGGAACTATCCCATACGGACGGTCGTCGTACGGATAAACATTCCAAAGCGAAGCTATCAAAGATCATCGTGGAATGTAGGAAGGAGGGTAGCGTGAATGCGATGATCGTCGAAAACACAGATGTGCCTCAGAAGTTTGAAAAGTGCAGACTAGCACTGGTCAAAGCCAGCGCTGGTTACATGCTTGAATTCTATTCCAATTCTAAAACTAAACCACGTCATGGTATATTCTGCTCATCGATTACGGAAGCTCGCGAGACGACGGCTTTGGAGATGCCTGATCACGAGAACACGTTCGTGTTAAAAACTCTGGAGAAGGAGTTTATTATCGAAGCGAAAGATCCAAGTGACATGAAATCTTGGCTGGCAACAATCAGATACTGCATGCGAAGTAACTATGGACTTGTTAATACCATTGCTGGTGGCACCGTTGATTCAATAATGGGCGAGAGTTTGATGCATGGCTCCGTATCGATGAATATGGACGGCGAGAGGATAAGATCAAATTCGACGAGTAAAAGTACTCGTTCTGCTATCGACCACGTGGACGAACAAGGAAATCCTCCAGAATTACCACCGAGACTTAGAGCTACGAGTCACAGTAATTTGGATTTACGGTCGTCTGATCAAGAAAACGAACAAAGTAGCCTCACTTCCGCTTTTCAAAATCAGTTCAAAAAAAATTTTTATACAACTATTAATTTTTCTTTTTCACTTATAGATGCATCGGAAGGTGTTTGCCCTGGCACAACAGAAGTTGACTTATCGAGTAGTTTGCGAGAATATCCTTGGTTCCACGGTACATTGCCCAGATCTGACGCTGCACAACTTGTTTTGCATAGCGGCGTCGAAGGCCACGGTACCTTCTTAGTGAGGCAAAGCGAAACACGTAAAGGCGAATACGTGCTGACGTTTAATTTCCAAGGGAGAGCTAAGGTAGAAAAAGAGATTCATTTACAATTCAAATATGCTCTGTGATTTTACTTATACTTTCTTGCTTCTGATTCATTCTGACGTGATTACCAATTGAATGCGCAAGATGAATTTTGAAGGCTCTTCAAGGATAAATAAATCGTATTAGAAATAATTTGTTTTCAATGAAAATAGATTATATAGATCGAGGTGTTTGTGATAAAACTGTATGATTTAATTTCAATAAAACAATTCAATTATGTGAATAATTGAGAACAAGTTAACATTTTGAATTTTGCAAATAAATTTAAAAGCTACAATCTTATATGCTATGAACAAATACTTCATTCAATTAAGTAATTTGTACTGCACGACTTCTTATGTTTGTTTTTGCTTTAATCTGATGCGCCCATATAATTGAAAACATCAGCCTTTCGCGAATTCATCTTTTGAGTGGCGTCCATTCATCAGTAAAATACTCATTTGTTCGATCATTCGCTACCCAACATCCAAGAAGCTATTTATATCGCCAAAATGTGCAAGATTAGTAAAATACTCGCGGTTATAAATTTTTACAGCTGTATTAAAAAATTCTTTCCTTTGTATTCAGTACTGTATATTTATACACATCAAAATCAACAATGAAATTTTAGAACAATTAGAAAAAATGAAAACATCTACCCGGTATAGATTTCGGTTATATATATATTATTATATATTATGTTATATTATAATAAAAGCGTATACAGTCATCCAAAAATAAAATTTTGAAAAAAACATATCGTAACAATGCTGTTGTTAGTGGTTTTCTCATTTAAAGAAATGAAAAAAAGAGAAAAACCAAAAAAATTTTTCTTGTTGTAGCATTTGCGAATGACACTGTCGGATACAGGTCTGTGTCGCGTACAACATTTGGTATTTCCTGGAATCTACGACATGCTGGACCACTTCAGGGTACATCCAATTCCCTTGGAATCAGGTGGAACAGCTGATGTCAAACTTACAGAGTACGTGCTAGCTAACCAACTGGCTGCTTTGGCTGCTACTGCGAGTACAACTGCAAGTTTTGCTCAACAACAGCAACAACAACAATCGCAACAACCGGAGAGAAGAGCTGCAGCACCACCAGAGACTAGAGAAGTAAGACTAAGCAGCGGCAGTCTAACGCCGCTTGAGTGAGCGATCATCATCACACAAGCACACCCGTTTTCCCACAGTCTCTCTCAAGTCAAGTCCTTTGGCTTTACAAACAAACCAGTGAGTAGACACACAAGAGAAAAAAATGCATTCTCGAAAAAACTGAGATTGCTATCGTAAAGTACGACTGGAATGTGAACGAGTTTTTGACCTTTTGAATTTTACTAATGCTGTTTTGAAGATTTTCAGGGTTTCATAGTAAAACTTAAATATTACAATAATTATGTGATGTACTACTAGTTATAGAATTTGAATATTTCTAAGGAGAAAAATATTTAAAGAATAAAAAAAATTTTTATATTTTTCTGATACTTTAGAAGTACAATAGCTTATTTCAAAATTAAACGTTTGAAAAATTTTAAGATTTCAATTGATCCAAGTTCAATGTAATTATAAAAAGAAGTTTTAGAAAAATTCTTAGACAATATACTCGGAAAATTCTGGTCAGTTACAATAACTGTAGATTGAGTTTTGGTTGACTAAGAATAATGATTGATCAGAAATTGTTAATGACTGGTGCGCACTAATTGATTTGTTAAGATATTTATTCTGACATCAGCTTCTCACCTTAGTGGTACGAACGTCATATGCTTTAATGCTATAACAACAGTTCATTGTCTTTTCTTACTTGGCTAATTATTACTTATATTCGTTTAATCTTCTATAGATCTGACACTTTTCAAACAACTATAATAACGTTTAAACAAACAAAGTTTTAGTTTATTTATGATTTTAATTATTTGAAAACAAATTTTTTAAATTTCTTTTTAAACTACTAATAGGCATTTATTTCATTTTCACACCACGTTAATTTTGTACAGTTAATTAAAATAATACGCAACAGTCGTCAACTAATTATTAGTGAATAACTATTATGTAGCCATATGACCGTGGGGGACGGGTTACATTGGTGAATGGCGATGTAGATTTATTTGATTTTTTGAAGTAAAAACAAGACCATTACAATGTATACACTTAACTTATATATTAAAGCAATTTATATGATGAAATTAAGTGTATTGAAATCTGTTGTGGTATTGTTGACTAATATAGAATAATTTATTAAATGTATTTTCTAACAAATTCACTAATTATTTTTATCGATAAAGATGGAGGTATTTTTGTATATAGATTAACCCGTACATTAAACACAGTTTACATTTCAAATTCAATCTGCATAGCGTTAAAATAATTAGTCATAATTGAAAATTCGTATTGCGCAGGTACAAACGTTCGCCGGTCCAGTAAGGATGCGGGCCGAATCGCTGGAACGACTCGAGCAACAACAGCAACAGCAACAAAACGACGAACAGGCATCGACAAGTAGGGCAGTACAAAATGCCTATAGTTTCCTTTGACGGTGGATGCGTAAAACTTCTCAACGTCCACTTGGCCCACACGGCTGACATTTGCTCCTCGTTATTTTTTTAAGTTTTTTCGTTGATTTATTTTTTTTTCTATACGTAGTTTGTTTTAGATATGACAGAAGTCATGACTGACGAATGATTTGTCAAACAGCTTATGTTGGTGCAACTTACTTTCTCCAGTTTGATCCACTGGTAATCACACTCTTGGTCACGATGATATTGTAACCGTCAGGCCAGACTGGGCTTCCCTTGTTTGGCTGATATATTACGTACATGATGACGTTTTTTCCTACCACTTCCGAAGACTCATCTGCAGCTCCCTCAACAGTATATTTATCTTACAACACAGGTATCGGGTTTTATCCGTGTAATCTACGGAGATTATTTCCGTATACTTGGAATCTCAGCAAAGTAGTTTGGTTATTAAGCCTCTTCCTCATCCGGTATCGAATCTTGGAAATTGTTTCTGCCAAGCAGCCATTGCTGCAATAGCATCCTCTGTATGCGACAATGGCTTGTACTTAGTTCCGCCATACGTCTAGCAATTAAAAGACACCTTAGTTGAGAGCTGGTGAATTGCCAGATAAAAAATAAATGCAAATTAACAATAGTATTTTATCATGGCCCCATTTAGACTACCCCTTCTGTCTAAGCCAAAATCTTCCGAAGTAGATCTTTCGTGTCTAGCAAGATTAACTTCGCGAGCTTTAGATTTCGACAGACGGGTTTCTTGAAATCAGGTGTCAAAGAAAGTACTTACACTCCTCCTTCTAAAAAAGCTTTCATCTTCAACACTTGTAAGTAATTTTCCTCAAGGCTGTACAGTTTTGATTATTTGAAGTAGTATGTGGTTGAGCTTGTCGATATTCGATTTGGAAACTTGCTTAACTAACACGATTCTCTTTGTTTCTTTTCATCCGGCTCTTGCATGATGTATAACGTGGATCAGCCGCTTCGCATAATCCGATTCAAATTTAGTAAATGGCGCCTTTTATTGTGTAGCAGAATTGAAGCGCAAATTCGCCGTTACGCCTGTGGTAAATCGAAATAATTAAACTTGTGACGACAACTTGTATAGAAGATTTAGCATGTAATCTCAGACAGGTTTTCGCGTATCCCTCTTGCATTTAAATCATGTCGCCATGTGGCTATTGCTTGAGCTCTAGTATAATTATATCTTTTTTTCTTATTTTTTTACCGATCACATTTTAGGAAACGCAAGTTTACCCGTGAAAGCGTAATTTTTTTCATTTGTATTTTTCTTCGTAGTCGACCGTGTAGTTTGCTTTTGCTTTCGCCGGTGCTTTTTTACATCGATAATATTATTACCACAGTGAACTATTAAGAAAACATTTTTAGCTTTTGCTGACGCATATTTCATAAAGTAAAACAAAAACTTGTATATTTTTTTAAGAAATATAAGCGTAATCTATGCGTACTGTTATTTAAGAAAATATAGAGAAGCATACCGAGTGTGTATACAACGTATGTGAATGCCATAAAATGCCAATGCAATTAAGGAATTTCCGCGACAATTGTTACTCAACGCGTATGACTGTTGATAATAGCTAGCGAGTTTAAGTCTCATGAACAATAATTTTTGTTTTTTTTTATTTCCTTTAAGTTAAGTATTCAAAGCTACGAAGACAAGTCATATTTACTGGATCACAAATTATGCTGTGCAACTCGCATTCCCAGTTTTTTTATATAATATACAAATATAAACGCGTACCATCGAGAATACAAATGTACTATAATGAGATACGTACACTCGCGCACACACACACACACACGCGCGCGCGCGTGCACCCACATGCACACAAACGGGGCATTTGTGCCTTTGAAAAGAAGAGTCTAATTGTAAACTGTAATTATTGTACAGTATCGTAATTTTTTTATAATACTGTTAAAAATGAGAAAATTTTTTTTTCTGTTTTTTCACTTACAATTATTGCGTTATATGTACACGGTTGTTTTTTTTCATCTATTATACAACTGATTATTTTAACCATAAGTACTAAGTTACGGATACGCTGTGACAATTTTAATTTAGTGATTGATGAGATCTGTAATCATCGAAAAGAAGCACCTAATTTTTAAAGTTTTTGTGCTTGCTGACTTGAATGTATTGTTATGTATAAAGTACTAATTTTTTTCGATCATAAGCTTCGGTGTATGAATTGTATATTTTTATTAATTGCGCAAAGTATTAAAATACTTTCGATATATCTGTGTAACTGTTTGCAAATGAAAAACAAAAGTGATAAAACGTAAAATATGTGAAAATTGACTTGCGATTCGCGAAATTAATCATGTTTGTTAATTTTTTGACATTGTTTTTGAATGTAAATTAAAAATCTTTTCTTAGTATTATCTCTGCACAAAATTTTATTTACAAAAATAAATAATATTGTAATGAAGGTTTCGAGAAAAAATTCGCAGATGTAATTTGTTACCTCCTATCCTGTTTATTTTTTTTTATTTTAGTGTTAAATTTATACAGGACAACATTTTTACATGTGTTCATGTTGGCACAGAATACAACGATTTTTATCTCATGTACTGCATATTACAAACGTCGTGTATAGTATCATCTAGTCTAAATAAATTTAGCCTTTGTAATTTTTGTGCTTATTAGTCTTATTATTAATCGTCAAAATATATACAAAGTAATTACACTTTGAATAACGTTAATTTTACAATTAATTTTCCTCGTCGCTACCAACATCAATCACTGGTGAGATCTGTAATAAAATGTTTATCCATTCTCACGGACGTTCCTCTTGTTGTCGAAATAATTTATATTTTACTCACATAATACTCAATGTAACAATTGATTCCATTTTCCGTTTTGATCATGTATTGAAAACATAAAAGACCCTCTTCATTGGTTCTCAAAGCAACTTTATTAGAGCAAAATAACGCTTTCATTGCTGGTTTGATATGTGATAACATATATTTTGATGTCGCCTCTTTCTTACATTGAAAAGTCTCTATCAATTCGGTATTGTGTGTAGCTGGTAATTGAATGTGACAATCACCAGCTACCCCGGATGTGCTAAAGACAAAGTAAGGCGATGTTGGCGAGAGATAAAGCTAAAAAAATCATATCAGCAATGAACAAACGAATGTGTAATTTATTTAATTAAAAATACAATTAATACCTTAAGATGATTACTTGATGTGTCAAGTTCAGATAGCACATCTTTTAATAGCTCACTGTGTAGCAGGGCTTTATTCATACTATTTTGTGGTGTTAAATTAAAGTCTAAAAGTTCGTCTGCTTCTTGAGTTTTTAAAGAACAATCCACTACCACACCATCTTCTTCAATTAGTACTGTGACTGGATGACCTTTACCCTAAAAAAAATAAAAAATATAGATCTTAAAATTGATTAATGAATAAAATTTAAAAAAAATTAAAAGAATTATAAATACATTACCTTGTAATGCATTTCCATAGAAACAGTAGAACCTGAGTTTATACTTTGCCAAAACATTGACAGACATTCAACAAGTATATTTAAATTAATACGAAAAATAATGTCTTCTTTTATCAGAAAAGGCTCAAAAAGTCCTGCAGGAAGGTAAGCACTAGCTTGCATGCATTTTGCATCTTCAACAGTTATTTTTAAACCATTCTCTGAACCAGAACATGTTGCAGTCTAAAAAATGTTTATACAGTGAAAATAATTTATTCTTACATGCTAATAAATGAAAACTGATTAGTACTTCTCTATAATTAACTGCTTTTAAAAGCTGAATCACTGTTTTGAGATTAGTTAATCTACCTACAAACACATAGTCTGTCATGGTGCTAATACAAAACACGTCCTAGCAGTACTTCACAAAATTTAGATTCTTGAATAGTTTGATAATTCAGATTAGTCTGCGTAAGTGATGCTAACCAAACTGCTAATATATGTTTACAAGTAAAGGTACTATGTTCTTTCAGAACTTGATTCCTAAAAATATAATAGTCAGAGTTATATCAATTCTCATGAGATTGGATAATAATGAAAAAACTTACTCAAAAGATAAACAAGAACAAAAATTAAGATTTGGGAAAATTGTATAAACTTCACTACTTTGTCCTTTAACTTCATAAAAACAACATGCAGTTCTATTTTTAATCGTATGTTGTGTCAATTCAACTTTGAATTCAGTTACTTTTTTTGACTCGTACAACTCAAGAGCTCTGTCAAATGTTGCTCCACACATGCAACGCAATCTAAATAAATGCAATGCAGTAACTATAAAGTTAAATATGAGATTATTATCAAAAAAATTATATTATTTCTACTTATTTATCAAAATCAAACTATAACTCACGTTTGTTTTCTTTTTGGAAATCTTCAGCTATTTCTGTCAGCACACGTCTAATACTACTTTTAAAACAAACGTTGGAATGATAAACCACTTCGTCTTCACTCATTTTACGTTAAAATACAGAAAAACGTTCCACTTGCATCTTCACGATTTTCAAACTTAAAGTTAATTCCAACAATAATTAAAGTATCACAAACTACACTTGATCACAACAACGAAAATAAATCTCATCGTCTGCCATACGAAAAGAGCGCGAAAAATTAGAGTCAATCTTTACTTATCAACAGCCAATATTCAACATGCAATGCTAGCGCGAACAGCGCCACCATAAGATAAAACAGCCTTAATGACAATCCGCAAGAGTCGCTCGACTCGACCATCATGCAAAGGCACATACTACCAGATCAATAAAAAACATTCGCTGCACTCTCGGAAGAGTAGCCAGGCAAAAGCAGCGGTGTCTCAGTTCAGCTCAGTTCTCTCTTCACCACGGCGACGACATAAAGTGAGTGAGTCAGTGCCTCCTGCAGTCTAGCCATACATACACAGGAAAAAAGACGCTTTGACTTTGCCTACTTACATGTTTCTCTCTCGATGTCGAGGTACACGCAGTATATATTTTCGAGTGTGTGTATGTGTGACTACGTATAGCGTAGTAAACAAATGAGCTGCTATTTTTGTAGACCTGTGCGTCTTTTGCGAATAATCAATTTCAAGAGAGAAGAGCTAGAGTCTACGTGTATAGTGGGATTAGCCTTTTTTCTTTTTTCAAGACATTGTTATGATAGGCTGCTCTTTAAGCTGGCACGCGAGTTTATTAGTTTTTCGAAGTCAGATTGTTTGCAATCTGTCACTTAGCGTCCAGTTCCGAGTAACAAAATTTAACGATGACTTTGTAGAGTGGAATTGTTAATTTATTAATAATGAAAGTTACTTAGTGTTTAATATTGAATAGCTCACGTTAATATTTTAACACTTATGAATGGAGCTGTCACACTTGTTTTCCTTTATTTGAAAATAGTGTTGCCATTATATAACTTATTAAATATTTTTTTTCGAAAAAATAGATTTTACAACAAAGCAACAACTAAAGATTTAAATGTTCTTCATTCATAGTATAATCATTATTTATCAGGTTTTTACGTCCACGATAATAAAAAAGCATCGTTGAAAAGAGATAAGATTTCTGTATTGGAAGTAGCTTTATCAAAACATTGGTCTATTAGAAAACCGTGATCATCACACATAACATATCAACATGCGATTCTAGCTCACTTTCTACAGTTTATCTTGAGAAGGATTTTCTCAGATCTTTTATTTCGTTCCTCTCATCAAACGTTGTCTTTGATTTTCTATTTTAAACGATGATCAAAATCACTGATTCACATCCTAACAAAGAAGCAGCTGACCATAAGTAAAAGTTAAAAACAAGAGAGATAGTCGGCATCTGTAAGGGTCCGTTGATATGTATTTCAGATTGAAGATGGGATCAAAAGATCGAGCAGTTGACACTCGGAGAGCATTAGGCATAGACAAGTGAGTGTCCTCGTGGTATCGATTGTCCGCGTCCTTCGCGAGTGTCGCGATATATATTTTTAGCCGTGCCGCCACACGCGGCTTTTCAAGCTACGGATAATAGCAACAAAAAGGAGAAGAAAACTAACGACATGAGCTCTGTGTGGAAGCGATTGCAACGGGTCAACAAGCGAGCTGCCAAATTCCAGTTTACCGTCTCGTATCATGAGGTTCATCTTGTGACAACGACCAAATGGTAAGTAAGGCAACCGACGCTCTTTATATACGCGCCGAAGGTTTTCACCTTGAGAATCAGGTTTGCAAATCGATCAAATTGGTCGTTTTTATCCCACCAACGAGCAGAGCTGATATATATAAACACAGATATTGTTCGCGCGATTAGCGAAATGCCGAGGCGGAAAATAGTGCTTTTGTTTACCGTTTTGCGCCTCGTTTATACATAGACGTGATATTTTTGCTTGCTAGATAGAACAATCTTCCCGTTCGTCTTTCGTTCAAAGTCATCGCTATGATTGCGCTTTTCGAAATGAAATTAAATCAACCCGAGTTGAGAACAAAAGTCAAAACCAGGAAGAAACCCGCTGCCGATTCGCGATATTTTACGATGCACGTTTACTGCCAAGCTACAATTTGCTTGCAAGTTTCTTCGCACGCGTCAATTCGCGAAATTACACAATCGCTCATTACAATTGTTAGTCATCCAGTGTATACTTCGAGCGCCAATTTCATAATTACTTCTTGCTTCACGGAGAGTAGCAATAAATCGCGAGCGATTTCCCCGTTTTCGCCAACAACGACTCATTAATTTCGGCAGCGCAGGAAAAAAAAGAAAGGAAAAGGTCAGCGGCGCGCGACCGGGGTAATTGAACCATACATACACGCCCGCTCGAAACAAAAAAGGAAAAAAAAAGCGACGAGCGAGAGGCGAGTGGAAGACAGAGAGGGGAACGGGACGCGAATGCGGGAGCTCTACTCCTCGTTTTCGTAGCGCGCGTTCACGAGTCGAGCGGCTTTTGTCAGCCCGTCGGAAGTTTGTTTCCGATGTAGTGCGCGCGGCCAGGAGTGTCGCAATTGGCGCGACCGAATCGGCCGGCCGCTTCTGAAAAATCGCGTCTTCGCGGTAGACCACGCCGTTTCCCGTGGGATAACGGTAGCCGTATACGCGATTGTTCGGTGCTCTTGCCAAACAGCCTGTGAGCAGGTCGATTATGTATATTTTTATAGTAGCACGGATGCGCGTGCACCACATTATAATGTTCCGCGGTAAAGCAGGCCCTGCGAATTATTTAATTCTTAATGGACTCGTTTATTTATGCGTCCGTTCGAGACTCGTCGTACGGCTAATTACGTTCTCTTTTGTCTTTATTTTTGAGAATTACGAAAAACTTATCTCGTCGTCTCGTTCACGGGAAGCGATCCGTCAAATATGAACTACTCCGTCGGCATGAAATTCAGTAAACTATTTCTGGAATTCAGTAAAAAAAAGCTTGAAAGTCGTGAAAAATCGCAGCTTTCCAAATCTCTCACAATCCGTTCAAGCGAATAGTCAGTCCCTCGTGTATTTTCGTATTTTCGGACCAGCAACCTTATCTTTATGTATTTCGACCCGCTGAATCTGCATCCGGTGTCAAGGCGACACGCTCAAGAAAACAACAGTTATTTCATTCAAAGTCCATCGGCCATAAATCAAAGCACCGATTCGTTAGTCAAAAAAAAAAGCAAATTTTCCATACACATCGGCGCGCATTCAACCGTGAACGCAATCTCAAGCCAGAACACATTGTTCTTACTCGCTGGCGCCCACGAGTCGTCAACTTCGATACAACAAGTCTCTTTATCCGCGGAAAGTTGAATCGCTTGTCATTGTTTGCCTCGGAACGGAGCTTCGCGAGCTGCTGGGGTCTAGCTCGACGAGAGCCACGCGCAGAAGCAAGGGAAACTCGCTAGACCCGTCGCAGCATTCGTGCCACGCGCGAGAATCCACTTTCCAAATGATCGCGATAACGCGGCCGCCTCGTAAAAGGGATACGTCAGCGTTGCCGTCCGTCGGCGGGGAACGACTTTCCGAGAACCGGCAATTACAGGCTTTCCGTGGCTATCGGGAAAGTGGAAACGAGAGGCGCGCGCGAACGCGCCAAGCCGTTGCGCCAGAGAATTCCAATCTTATGCAAATTCACGCACAGCATCGCGTTTCCTTTTCCGATCGCCGCGCTCTGTCCCCTCGCTCGGCCGCCACGGGTCAAGGCTGCTGCCGCTCGACTTTCGTAAAAAGCCGATCGGAGGCGATCGCCGAGGTATAGCGGCGCTACAGCCGCGATGCGTCTCGAGGAAGCGAGAATTGTGGCCGTTGCGGCGGTAGGCGAGGCGAGGCGAGGCGAGGCGTAATTAACGGAAACGACGCGCGCTTTGCCCAACAGGAAGCCGAACAAGCTGAGCGTGGTGTGGACACGTCGAAGCCGAAGGGTGAGTACCGAGCCGCTGGACTGGGAGCCGAGTTTGAGCGACCCTATGAAAGGCGCGGTCAGTTGGCCCGTACCCGACAACCACACCGTCTCCGTAACTTTGTTCAAGGACCCGCGCACTCACGAGCTCGAAGACAAGGACTGGACCTTCGTCATCGAGGATGTAAGTAGTTGTGCGTCGACCTGTCTGATTAAGTCGCGCGAGTCACCGAGCAAAGTTGCCCATTGACGATCGCGTCAAGCGAGAGAGAGCGAGGATTTCTTTTTGTTGCTTTGTTTCGGGTTTGCGAGCTCGACTCATTGCGAAAAGACAGTCTTTTACGGCGGAAACGTGAAATCATTTTTCGTCGGGCAGGTCTCGACGACGGGCAAACGGCGTCACGTGGCCGCGGCGAACGTAAATATGAAGAAGTATGCGAGCTTGGAATCTAGTCAGCAGCAGCTCAAAATAGACTTGAAGCCAACGTCGAAGAAAATCGTCAACGCGACCCTTGAGTGCACCATGTCGTGCGTCTTCCTTAGAGAGGGCAAAGCCACGTACGTTACCATTGGCGTATTTGCATTGCGAGGGAACTCGGAATGCAGACCGTACAATGTCTTTTCTCAATTCGCAGAGATGAAGATATGCAAAGTATGGCCAGTTTGATGTCGGTCAACAATAACAGCGACATCGCTCCGTTGGATGACTTTGATAATGAGGACATACCGGAGGACGTGGAGAACGTCTCTATAAGGAACTTTGACGAACTATTCGACATTTCGGCCAGGGACATTTCTGCTAAGTTGGACTTAATGACCAGTAGTCTCACCGATGGCGATATACCCAGTACTCCAATAAGTGGTTAGTGTACCGATCACTTGGCTATTGACTTGCTCGAAAGCACCACGTGTCGATTATTTTCTCCGCAGTGGCGAGTTTATCCAAAGACGATACGACGCCCATCAACGACGATCAGAGACACTTTTTGCGTGATACAAGCTTTTCTACGGATCTCATCGATACTCCCACCGAGAGAACGCCTAAAACTGAATTTGTACACAACAAGTAAGTCACATTTCCAAAATACTACTGTCCAAATTTAAAAAGCTACTTACAAATTTGTTGAGCTTGGCAAACAACTTTGATCATGGCAATATAACATTTACAGTCTTAACTTTGAGCATATCGCGCCAAGAATCTCGCTACGACCACTCGACTTGAAAAAGCCAAATCCATCGGGTCAACGAATGCGCGACGTAACTCCCGGCCAAGATTTACTCGAGTGGTGTAAAGAAGTGACCAAGGATTATCAAGGGGTAAAGGTTACAAATCTGACAACCTCTTGGCGAAATGGCATGGCTTTTTGTGCGGTGATTCACCACTTCAGGCCAGATCTTATGTAAGTGATAGAGAGAGAGAGAGAGAGAGAGAGAGAGAGAGAGAGAGAGAGAGAGAGAGAGAGAGAGAGAGTTGTTGGATAAATAACATCGACGTGGCTTCGTTCAGACAATTAATCTAAGTCGACCCATTCGCGATATGTCTATTTGCGTATATGTGTCGACTAGTCGTGACTTACTCCGCAAAATGTTCTTTTTTTTTCTTTTTGCCATCACGATTGCCGTTCGACCTTCTGTAGATAGGATTTTCGATTGACGAATGCAGTTATTCATCAAGAACAAATTTTGAAATTGTTTTGTATGCGACAGTTTAATTCACTTTTTAGTAACATTGTTTGTGTAATTTTTTTATATTTTATTTACAATGACTTCCGAGATTTTTGTCTATTTCATCAAAGTTTAAAAGAAAAATCGAATAATTTTCTTTCTATTCTCTGAAATATGCATGCTCATAACATTTCATACTCAAAACTAGATCTTGATAAGAATTGATTCTTCAATCGAGGAATCCCAGTAATGCATAAAATTTTGCAGTCGTATAATGAGCAGTTTCCGAAGATTCTCAATTTTATTGGCACACTCACGAGGTTTAACTTGCTCAATACGAATTATATTTATACGTTTCTCGGAAATGCAGTTAATTCATTCGAAACAAAGTAAACGTTTTCTTTTTCAAATTCCAACACTATTTTATTCCACTTCAATATTAAGAAAACCTAATCGATCGAAGCTTTAATTACAAGCAAATCTATTTTTAATACAGCGACATAGACGCATTGTTGCCGCATGACGTCAAGGGCAACTGCAAAAAAGCATTCGACGCAGGCGAAGCTTTAGGTATACCTCGTGTCATCGAACCCGCAGACATGGATATTCTCACAGTGCCTGACAAGCTCGCTGTAATGACTTATTTGTACCAGTTACGAGCACACTTCACGGGTCACGAACTCGAGGTAAGCCGAGCTATTATGCTTCGAATTAAGCATTGTTATCAAGATTTTGTAATACACCGTATTTGCGTTACGCGCAATTGACAGGTACACCAGATTGGTAAAACCACCGACGAGTCGTCGTACATGATCGGCAGGTTCAATACGGATAATGAATCGGATGTCAGTGTTCAGCTGTTTGGCCAGGAAATAATTAATTTAAGGAAGAAAGAGATTACTGACCATCGGAATAATAAGAATGATGCGAACCGACGGTAATATTATTATACATAAAACGAGATATTGTTTGAAACACTGGATCTTATTGAATAGCTTTTGTTTCTAGTTCAAACCCATTCGATTACAGAAAGGAAGATATGGAGTCTCTGCGAAATAAATTACACTTAAGCTTGAGTATGGACCATCAAGACGAAGCATTCAACAAGGAAAAATCACCCTCTAGCGTAAAGGAGGTCAAAGATAAGATTCTTGCAAGTTCGAAAAGTATCCTTGGCAAAGTTTTGTCCCCGACTAAAGACAAGTTTACCAAAGAACACTCAATCACGAGAGACAAGGTATTTTGTTGTTTTTTTACTTCTATTTCTGTATGCGATAAATGGTCATTTTCGTGGTGTGAAAAAAAAATCGAGACTTAGAAATTAAACGACGTACGTTAACATCAGAGTAAGTCACCGACACCACAGCCGCGTCCCATTCTCATGACTCGGCGGCAATTGACTGATCCATTTGGCTCTGACGATGAAGATGAAAACACGCAAGTTGTTGAGGATCAGTGCTCCGAGACAAATTCCATCGGCAAAGCCCCTACCGTACACGTACGAGACGTCAGTATGCACGATGGATTGCATGCGTTGTATTCTATTTCGTCATTTTTTTTTCTTAGCGTTGAATTATTGCAGTATTAATTGTACGATTAATAGTTTTCACATTTGTCAACTTGTTTTTATCACATAGGTAACTTTTTATAAAATTATCAAATTTTAATTTACCTTGGAGAACACAAAAAATAGATAATATATATAAATGAATGGATGAATCTATGAAAAATTATTGCATGTGCGTCAAATTGTGTGAACGTATCTTCTGCCCAACGGCATGCAAATGCACGATTTGGTTTTGCCTCTTTACCAACTGGAGCATGCTACACCTGAAAAAGTTTTAAATTCACTTCAACTTTTATTTCTTTAGCGAATTTCTTTCGATGCCGCATTATTTACACCGAGTAAGCTACAGTTTTAGCAAGTGCATTATCGTTTTATTTTTTGCATGGTATTTTTTGATAGAGCTAGGATAAAATTATGTTTGCAAAGTATTTTTTGAAAATTTGAAAGTAGTTTTGAACACATTTAACACTTATGCAATTTTTTATTTGTTATTCACAGGATTCCATACACTCAGTTGACAGAGGTAGTCGTGCAAGTTCTGAAGGTCGAGGCATATCACCGTCACACGAGGAGCAACAACCACAATCACCAATGCAGCATCAACATCGAATAAAAGTAAAAACATGTTAAATTTCTCAAATGTTCTTTTTTGGATGTTTTGTTTGGCTTCCGTTGATTTATTTTGCTAGCACCATTTGTATATTAGCGTATGAGCGTGTGAGTAATTCCCTGTTTGTGATTTAATTGTACGGCACTTTTACGTAACAGACTCATGTGAATCGTCCTGAGGTGATTAGAGAAAGAGCCAGACAACTTTTAGAGCAAGCTAGAAATCAAAGTAGAAGCACTACCCTCGGCTCTGCCGCCACAAGTCCCGTTGAGGTTTGTTTTTGGTTTCTTTTTGTTCTCCGTTTTCTTTTTTATTTTAGGAATTTTACTTTTGGTTTTGGTTTTGTATTTGTGCACGTAATAATGCATGTAGAGAGTAGTATGTTATTTGTTTTATTTTTAGTAGTAACGAACTTATTTATTTCATTGAATTATTTGAAGTAATGAATATGATTTATTGTAGCTTTGTTTAAGCTACTTCGATTACACTGATTAATTTCAAATTAATTACTGATCCAACAGTAAATTTATAAGTAACTATAAAAAGTTAACTTGAAAAAATCTAATTAGAAAGTGGTCTTATTGACCATACATTGAAATTATTACTGTAATATTAGACCATGTATTGAAATTATAACTGTAATATTAGACTGATGACGAGCGACAGCAGCAGATGCGCGAGAAAGCTAGAAAATTAATAGCCGAGGCAAAAATGGGTGTGAATTCTAGTCCAAACGGTGACGACAATGTTAGTGACAGAAGGTCCATTGATGGTCAAAATAATAGTCCTAGAAGAAGTATGACGCCCTCCACTCCAATTGATAGAATTAGTATTAATGTAAATAACTGATATATGTTTATAGTCTTTTTAAATTGATAATAACTTAGTGACTAATGTATCATTATCCATTTAGGAATATAATGGAAACGTAGTATCAAATATACCAGGCTCTGAAGTAGAAAAAAAACTTGGTTCTCCACTCTACTCATTTTCCAAAATCATGGAGAGAATTTCACCTGACAAAAGTCCTGATGACAGTCCATATTCACGAAGAGGAGTAAATACTTAACTAGATTACTTAAATTGACGACTAATAAATTTATTTTAATTGTCAACATATAATTGCAGCTGGGCAAGGATATGTCGTCGTACATTCAAAACGAATTGGAAGCGCTTGAGCGCGAGCAAAGTCAAATCGATATTCAGGCTGCTAAGTTAGAGAAGCAGTTAAGAGCGGCTATGGAGAGTGATAACGAAGAAGAGACAGAAAGATTGATGGCACTGTGGTTCACTCTCGTTAATAAGAAAAATGCTCTGCTTAGAAGACAAATGCAATTAAATATTCTGTAAGTGGTGCTTGCACTAATTATTACAATTTAGAGCATTTGTATCATGACTTTCATTATAGGGAAAAGGAAGATGATTTAGAAAGGAGATTCGAGCTACTGAATCGAGAGTTGAGAAAAATTTTAGCCGTTGAAGATTGGCAGAAGACAACAGAACAAAAAGTTCGTGAGAATCTTTTGCTCGAGGAGTTAGTTTCTATTGTAAACAAGAGAGACGAGCTCGTACACCATCTTGACACACAAGAAAGAGCGTTAGTAAACTTAAACTATTCTTGATACTTCAAAGATTGATAATATTTTGCATTAACTTCATTAACTTTTGCCACCGTATTGTAGAATCGAAGATGATGACGAAATAGAACGTGATTTAACACGAGCTGCAATAGCACAACGAAATAAGAATTGTTCTATCCAATAAAAGCATTATGTTTTCTTGCTAATTATTACTAAATAAATCAAGGTAATCATCCATAATATGCAAACAAAAATACTTCGATCTTATTAAATAGGATATTTTTTTCCTTTTAGATGCGTCCATAACTACTGTAGAGTTGCCAAAGAGTAATAAGAAGTAAGTTTGAGCTTGAAATTAGTGTTAACGAAGTACTGAGGTCTAATTACCGATAAGCTTCGCAAGAATTTGACACGCCGGTGTTTTCAAAAATAAGAGACGATGCATTTTTCGCTGCGATCTCGCGTGATTGTATGTGAAGCATTGTGATGAAGCCTATAAACAGGGCAATTTTATAATCTCCACATAGCAAATGATTGAGATTTTTATTTCTTATTAACTATAGTTCCGATGTTTACAATGAATGTTTTTTTTTCTTGTTTATTGTATATGTTGACTGAGTTCGTGTACTTTGTTTGATAGAATTATCAAACTTCTTAGAAAATTTTGCAGATCTCATGATAGCTACAAAAATTGTACTTGTTGGCTATAAACGCAATGATTGTGTTTTAATCAAAGAATTTTAACATATACAATCAGACAACAATGTTCGTCGTCTGTCAATCCATGTAGTCGAAACAATGGAAACAAAATATAGTCTCCATTCTCGAAATCGTGCCATAAATGTATTTTTGAGCGCAAACTTGCGTTGTGCTATCGTCTTTTTGTTGAATTTATTATCGATGTAAGATTTGGCGATGTAAGTCACACGAAGAAGGTGCAAATTTTATTGAAGAAAAAACAACAAAACTTGTATTTTTTACTGCTGATGTCATACTCGACACTTATTAGCGTGTAAGCTTAATCTTTCGTTTGTAAATACGTCTTAGTGCTGAAATATGAATAATTTTCAATACTGTCTTTGTGCACCGTTGTGAAGAGATTTGTTTTAATTTTGCAACGTTATCAAGAGCCGTGATAAAATAAATATATATTTTCAGTGCGGAAAACTCGTAGATCGACGAAATTTTATGTATAAAATAATAAATAGAGGGTGTATTACTATATAAATTATGTTGCTTCAAGTATACGTACGGTAGATATAGATATCGTAAAATTTTATCAATTGATTGCACTTTCATTGTTTCTTGATCGAACGAATTCAATGCATTTATGAAAGCGTTTTCCTTAGTTTGGTTTCCGAAAACAAAACTATTTTACGCGAATTGAAATAAATGACTAAAATCTATTGAAACATATTTTAAGTAACAAATCTGTACCGATCCAATCATGTTTAATTTAAGAATCACAGTAATGTATAAGTAGTGCAAATGAATGTTGCATATTATTGAAGTTTACATAAAGACTTCTAATCTGCAATAGTCCACGTTATTGATAATTCACTGAGAGCAAACAATTACTTAAAATTTCTGTACTGAAATGCTGTTAGTTTTGGAAAAGAAACAATATTCTTTGTTTACCTGTAAACAGACATGGCACCTTTTATGAAATTAAAATAGAACTAACATTGCATCGTACCAAAGTATGACGAAGTTTTAAATGATTCACACAATTTCACCATGACTGACTGAAAACAAGAAATAATTAATCAAAAATTAATGATTTACTTTGACGTTTGATTTGTTAAATTGTATATATATATCCGAATCCATTTGTCCGCTAAACAATGAATACTCTTTTGAAACATTTTAAAAGAAAGTGCCTCTTTTGATGTTTAACAAGGTAACTATTTCTGTTCCAAAAAGACGATCAATTACGTGATTTTTGCAAATTTTATATTAAAAAAATTAATCATGCTACTCATGACGTTGACATAAGATTTTCACTGCAAGCGTATTGTCTAATAGAACTAAAAGAAAATAAATAAAAAACTGATAAATACTAGCCCGCTGTCCAGTGCCTATATAACAACTATATTAAAAACTATGCAGTTAATATAGTTTGAATTAGTTTCATTAACTTCAAATGATAAATTAAAAATGATAAGCTCTTGCCAGTGTTTAATAATTTTATTTGGGAATGCATTGATGAAGAGCGACGTTTGCTAAAAGTGATCTAAATAATGTATCCCGCGAAATAAAAATTATTTAAAGGTAATCATGGAATATTTATTAATATCATGCAATACTTATTTATAAGGTTGAGGCTCAATAAAAGCACTACTAAAAAATTCAGCTGCATTTCTATCAATCCATGGTGAAGCTTTTTATTTTATATAGAAATAAAAATAAAGAAAGAACACAGTTAAACATATTTGAAATTTATTTGAGTTGTTAGAAATATGTCTAATGTTACTATACTAATTTAAGATATTTACATTAATGGTAATGGAAGCGGTATATAAACAGAAATCTTGTTCAAAAATCTACATTACATATTACAAGCCAAGATAGCATTATCAATATATATTATAATAAATTTCATCGATATATAGAGAACAAAAATTTTTGGACATTCGATATACAGACATGACTATTCAAGAGTATTTATTTATTTAGTACATAAATCATTTTCAAGTGACAGCATATAAGAATTAGAGTATAAAAAAAAAGAATAGTTTCAATTGGTAACCTTTGAAGATAAAAAGGAAATGTCTTTATGCAAGGCCACCCTTACCATGAGTTTACTAACTTTTCTATTAAATGCAGCTTTGTTCTTTAAAAAATTAGTTAATAACTTAGATGTCTTTGGAAAGAAAAGACGCTTCGTTCGGCAGCATCGCGCTAGATTTTCTCAACGTAATTTGACGGGAATAAGCCACTCTTGCCTTTGTGTCTTCCTTGCCACCAACCGCCATCATCTGTAAAGCAAAAAGGATCATTTGTCAAACTCGACCAGCAACTCGCACGTCGAGTCAATCAACCAAAAGCCCACTGACGTTCTTTGAGAACTTCAACGATGTCTCCCTCTTTAAGCTCGAGCTCGTCGAGATCCTGCGGATTGTAGTCGTAGAGAGCTTTGACTTTAGGCAATCTCGGTAGCTGTGGCTTTCGTGGGTTAGCTGCCGGCGCTGGCGCGCCGTTTTGCTGCCGATTGTTGTGCGTCACGCCATTCGTTGCAACGCCAATAGGTGGTAGCCTGAAGCCAGCCGAATGGATGGTCGGTTGATTCGGCGGCGCCGGCTCCGACGGTGGCGGTGGTGCCTTTATCAAACCCACTGCAATCGGGCGTTCAAAGAAACGTCATTGTCGTCGTGCTCGACCGCCAGTCATGCGGCAGTGGGCCGTGGCGCTTCGAGGCACGGAGCTTTCGCCACATTATTCATGAAAACTGCTCAATTACCTTTCGGCGCGTTGCCGGGATTGGTAAACATGCCCATTATCGGCATGACTTGCCGTGGCAGTTTGTTCGGCGCTCGTGGCTGAGCGAGCGCCGGCCGGTTCGCTGGCAAAGTCGGCCTGGCGCAGTTGCTCGGCGCTGCGGCCTGGCGCTGGCTGGCGTTCGCCTGGGCTACGTTCTCGCAGGTCCGTCGGCTCCGATCGACCGGCCGAGTTGCTTGCGAGGCGTCGTAGGGCGCTCGTACACCTGGTTCTGCTCGGACGAGATCGACGTGACTGGTAGACTCGCGAGCGAGCTGCGTCTCAATCGTTAATTGGTGGGCACTTACTGGACGTAGCGGGCAGACCGGGACCGATGCTGACCGTGAGAATCTTACCGCTGCTGCTCAGCATCTCCTCGTCGCCGTAAGCTGCTTGGACGAACTTGACTTGTCGCGTGCCGCCGCCGCCCCAGCCTTCCTTCTTCACCTTGAATTCGATACTGAAAGCAATTTCGATGACTGGGGGCTCTTGCTCGTCGGATCTGCGAATGACTTTCGGCGCGCGCGCCTACCTGTTGGCGAACTTGATGTTCAGGGCGTGACTCGTCTCCTCCGTGTATCTTTTGTTGAAAACCGATAGGAATTCCGTTTTGAAAACCAGCTCGAGCAGACTGGCGTAGCTCTCCCGCGTGTGTATCGCCACGAAGTTGTCCTGCGAACATCGCGGCCAAATGAGCATGAACGGCGACAGTCGACTCGCTCGTCTCGCGCCTGTGCGTACCTGTAGCGTGCTCAGCGAGATGTGACTAATTTGCTCGAAGGATAATTTCCTCTTGATCACCTCGGTTGACTTGCCCTTTTCCGGTCCCCGCTTCACTGGCTCGCGACCGATCAAGTACAAATACTTGCCGGTGAGAATCAGATCTCTTCGGGACATCTGTGCGGACATAACCAAGGGGCATTTCGTAAGTCGACCTTGTGACTCTTTTCGCAACTTCTTTCATTCTAATAGCAATGCAATCATTCTAGTCCATCTTCGAAGCAGATATTCATCTTATCAGCATCACCTCGATTTTCCAGTTAATGCTCGAGAAAGACAAGCACATTCGTCGGATCGTTTGTTTACAATCGCGACAAGGTGCGAAGTCACAAGCCGCCGCCTAATACACGCCTAGGCCTGAGTGCTCTGCTCTAATTTTCTAAAGGGATAACGAAGGTCAAAGTCTAGCAAACTACTGTACAAGTGTCTGCCACGAAGGCGCCTCGCGGAAGAGAATCGTCGTTTCGCGATCGGCGTGGCTCGATAAGAGTGTATAATAGCGCAGCACGGGGGCTTTCACTCGGGCAGCGCGCGGCGCGCTTTTATTGTTTTAGAAAACGGGAAGCGCGTGTTCCAGTACGGGCTGTCGCGTCGCCTGGGCGTAGCGTAATACGTTTCTTTCGAATTTCGCGCGACACGCGGCAATTAACGTCCGAAGCGGCACCGCTTCTTTGCTTTCCGTTCCGAGAGAGCGGTTTTGTCGTAAACGAATGCCATTAGCCTAATGCCGATGAGGGTTTCGACGCGATCATTTCCATGCCTTGGCTCAATTAGCTCGGCGGGAAAATAAAGAAACGGATTGCGATTTCATTTCTCTAGCGTCGAGGCGCGAAATGAATCGTCGGCGTGGAATATCTTGCGCGGTTCGTCGGACTTTCTTCCAGCCATGTGTTGGCAATTAACGACGACAACGACGACGACGACGATGATGGAACAAGCGAGTCGCAACGCACGTTTGCGGGCGCCGCAATCTCGTTGTCGTCGACCAAGGAGAGAACGTATCGACGAGTGGCCTCGAGTTGCAGAATAATTCCGACCGGAGAGATAATTTGAAAACAGCGCGTTTATCGAAACGAGCGCGTAAACCTGCCGTATATCAGCGATTTAAATGAAAAATTACGTCGACGCGATAAATTACGTGGAAGGCTGCCTCGGCTGCTCGGGCGCGCTGGGGCAAGACAATCTGGTTCGCACGAACGAAAACGCTGGCGCGTACGAAAGCCCGCATTCGCCTTTCACGCCTACGTTCGATAAAACTTTCCTGCGTTTCTTTCTTGATTTTGCGTTGCTCGCGTTGCCAGCGACGGCTGCGTTCGCGACACAAGAGAGGCGGAGGCGAAAAGGAAAAGAGAGAGAGAGAGAAAATTGATGGGTTTTACGTAAGGGAAACAGCGGCGCGCCGCCGCTTCGGCGAGCGAATACGCGTTCGATCGCCGCGGGCGCGCTTTTCAGCGGTCCGGGAGCGAGCGAGGGCCTCCCACCTTGAAGCGCCGGTCGTACTTCTTGACGACCTCGGCGAAGTAGATCTTCTCGCGCTTGCCGACGAGCGCGGCGAGCTTGGGCTTGGTGTCGAGGCCGATGTAGTCGCCGACGAAGTTGCGGTTCAGGCTGCCGCCGCGGCGCTGCTTGTGGCCGTAGAGCAGGTTCGCCGCCTCGTCCTTGCGCGCCGCCTGTCGCTTCTTCGCGAAGTACTTCCTGAAGGCCTGCTGGATGACCCGCGCGTGCTTGTTGTACTTCCTGTCGCGCAGCTCCTCCAGCATGAACAGCTGCAACGGGGAAGCGGAGGGGGCCGGTCAGACTGGCGCGGGCGGCGCGGACCGCGAGCGCGCACTCACGCTTTCGGGCGCCTTCACGAACAGCTTCGTGCGCCCGAGCTGGTACTGTCCGGGATCGATGCAGGCGCTCGCCAGGATCCACTCGACGCCGCGCCGCTCGTCGCCCCCGCGCCACGCCGGCCACGTCTCCTTCGTCAGGATCGCGTAGCGATGCAGGAAGCGCGCGAACGTGCGTCGGTAGGCGAACCCCGCGCGCCGCACGCGGATGTTCTCCTTCAGTCCCAGATACTCCACCTGCGGGTTTCAGCGATTTAGCTCCGGGCAGTCAATTGTTCGTTCCCAAAGCGTACTCCGCCGTTGCGACGTAAACGGTTGGACTGCTCGCGCGATTTCAAGTACAAACCTGGTGTCGAACTCTAACGTGATCCCAGTCCCGGGGCCTCTTGGTCTCGTTAGGTTTGATGCATCGAATGTAGTGCGGGGTACATCGCATCAATTGGCTGACGAGCCTCGACGCTTGACTGCGTATCTTGCTGCCCGCAGTCGTTGGCTTGCACTTGATGGTTTTCGTTTTGGCGGCCTCCTTCTCTTGCGGATAGATATCGCGCACCAGCGAGCTGCGTGAATTTTCGACTGGTTGCTTACTCGAGAAAACGCTTCCGAGGAACGGAGCTGCGAAACGAAAGAACTCACTTGGTGCTCGCCTGCATGAGCTCGACGAGGTCGAGGAACAGAACGTCGCGATTTTTGTCGCAGAAGCCGTCCACGGCGTAGGACACGCTGCCGGCGTAATGCAGCACAGCGAAACCGTCGCTCGTCGGCTGGAAGTGCGCGTGGCTGTTGGCGGACGCCGTGATGTTCTGCAAGACAAAGAAAGAAAGGAAGAAAGAAAGAAAGAAAGAAAGAAGGAAAGGCGTCGACGTTCGGTCGCCGGGAGCGATGCAAATCGCGCCTCGATTGTCGGCGAGCGGATACCTTCTGCAAGTCGGCGTCGGCGCCGGTGCTGCCGGCGTGCAGAGTAGCGCAGACGTCGTCGAGGACGAGAAAGAGGCCCGGCGGCCGTTTGCCCTCGAGCAGATCGACCACCACGGCATTGTTGAAGTAGTCGATGGGCGTCCATTTGATGTTCTCCGAGACGTATTCCTCCTGCAAAAGCGACAGAGAGCAAGGCTGAGACGCGGCTCGCGAGCGCGGACACTCGTCGGCTGCATCCGCCCCGGCGCTGTTGCGAGGGACGTCCTCGGCGGCGGCACACTTTCCGAGCGGCGCGCACACGCCCACGGCAATTTTCGACCGAATGGCTTTTATTTTCGCGTGCGCGCACAGACGCGGAGGTAATTGCGACCGATTCGAAAGTCAACCGAGCCTCGCATTGTGTCCCTTCCTCGATTCCCATTCATTCCACTCGCGGAAACCGCAGCTACTCGAATGGAAAAGCCACGGCGCTATATTGGATTTGTTCTAATCGGTCTGCGCGTTCTTCGTTTTTGCGTAACGCCGATCATCTTCGTTGTTTGCCTTTCTTACGACGCGCTGGTTTCGAAAAAAAAAAAAATGGCAGCCACGTTTTCTCGGCGATTTAATGGAGCGATAAAAAAAACCACCGCGATGTTTGGTTAAAAACTCATCAAACGCCTGCGGTTTCGCCTTGAATGAGTTTTCATTGGGGCGTTATGAGCCGGGGCTGACCAAAGCGTCCCGTTACTACTGATCGCGGCGCCATAACGATGTCATCGGCGCGCAACGACCAAAAAAGCCCCGCCGATCGTAAGAAAATCGACGATGTGAATCGTCGCGGGCCGACTGTTCCGCTCCGAATGCTCTCCGGCGAGCGATCCGATAACAAAGAAGAGGCTGCGCTGGCGATTCGTTCCGATGGCGCGCGAAAAATCTTTCAATTATTCCGACTTTCTTTCGAGGCGTTTTACCGAGTGTGGCCTCGGAGTAATTACAACAAAACTGGGATAGTGGGACGATCCTTTGCAGCGTTGATATGCATGACCGAGCGCAGAATCGGAGGCGAGCTGCCGAGTCGAGGCGGCGCGCAGTGGGAAAAGGCCGGGACGCCTTTATTCCGGTCGCATTCAAATCGACTGGCGTGAGTCGCGAATGCCAGATTCCCAAAGAGGCCTGGCGTCGCTAGCTCGAGCGAGTAGTCGTTCGCAACGGTGAAAAGCGTCGATCGACAGAGCTCAGTCGCGTCCGCTTTCTCGCGGATGCCGAATCCGCGAGCGAAGGAAGTAACAAAACTGTACCTCCGTGATAGATAGAGAGGGGACTATTATCGCGGCGCACGCATCTTTCTCCTCGGCCGCGTGTATCGACGATACTTACAGAGCGCTCGATTAACCGCGCGCCTTTTAATTATGCCGGGCTGCATTGTGTCCCTCGCCGTCGCCGAACGACTTATCCCTTGCTTCGAGCGATTTTCTCTCCTTCTCGTTGCGCAACGATCGATCAACCTTTGTAAGCGCGCTCATCGGAGCGTGCGCGTGTAGAAAGTGAAAAATAAGACGCGGCTTTGATTTCCTTTTCTTTTCCTCTTTTTTTCGTAAAGCCGTGCGTGCGGAGGATTATGTCATCGTGGGTTCGCGCGCGCTCGTAATCGCGCTCGATTTCCAACGATAGACCGAATAACGCGCGGCGCGCACGTGCGCTTATCAGGCTCCCCGATCGACTGCAATCCATGTACAAAGCGTTGTACGGACTTTTACCGCTAGACGCGTAACGCTGCCAGCTGACTGTTTTTTCCCATTATCTTTCCCGTAAGGCGCATCGGTCGTCGGGAATGGCGAGTCCTCGCGACACTCGCGCGACCGCGAGAGAACTCCGAGCGAAAAAGCGGAAAAGCGCTGGCCGTGTATGCAGATAATTGCAAAACACAAACGATCGGGCGGACTATAAATAGACCGGCTTTCCCTTGTACGCGCGCGCGCGAGCAGCACCTGTCGAGCACGCCTCTACGGTCGCTCGGGCAAGGACGCGACGAGGGGAAAACGCAGCCGTTTTCCCGGCGAAAAAAACACGGCGCAATGCCTTGCGCAACGCGATTGTCCGGGAAACGCGGCGGCTCCGTTTGAGGCACCGACGGATCGCGACGAGTGGCTTTCTAATTGAGAGATTTCGGGCGCTTTCTTCCTAGCCGCCAGCCAGCACAATGGCTCCGCGACTTCCCGCAGCTGCGCGTGACCGATTTTTCGAGCGCCGTACAATCAAACGCCGTGTCTCTCATTCGAGCGTAGTAGACGAAACGAGCTGTCATTTCGTGCGATGCGCGGGCCCTTTTTTCCATTCGCGAGGAGGGACAAATTTACCGTGGAATCGGACAATCCGAAAATATCGAAAGCGATCGTCAAACGTAATTTTCTTGCCGATGAATAATGCACGCGATCGGCTTTCGCGGCGCCGTTTGTCGCTGCTAAAATCGAGGCGAGCCCGGATAATTGTAACAGCCGCTGGCATTTACGACGTGCCGTGAAGTACGAATTTACGATCACCGCAATCGACAAATAAAAACGCGTCTCTTCTGTTTCGCGTGCACTCGAGCATCCAGCGCCCGGACAGCGACGTTGCGGAATGAAGTCGTTGGTAACGCGTCTTGCGCGTGCATCGGGCAAACCGAGCGAACCTTTGAAAATGTGATTAACGAGCGTAAAAGCGTGCAAACGCAATTCGCGCGTTGCATAAATGCTAATGCGCGGGCGTTTAGCGAGCGAAGTGTAGACAAAAGGCCAACAGGTGGCAAGTTGACACGCGCGCAAGTGCCGTTATTATCGTTGAAAAATTAGGCGCTAAACTGCGCCCGATGCCGTCGCGGCTTATTTTTCGCAACGAGGTTAGCTCTTTAATGCGTTCTGAAATAAAAAAAAACGGTAACGTTTAGCGGAGCCGGCAATTATCATCCAAGATTTTTGAAAAAATCATGCACAAATCGTTGGAGTAGTTTCACTTGTAAATGCCCGGGAATTCGATCTAATTCCCATGCGAGGTGAAAGGGCAATTGAAACTGCGATTGGCAAGGCTGCACTGCTATTATATTGACACCTGTTGCGGAGCGCGAGAACAACGCGCGCGGATCGTTCTTGCGAGCTATCCGGATAAGAAATAAGCTTTTCTGGTAAAGAGACTAGCGTCGTTTTGTTTACTTTTGAAATTGCGGTATTTGCAATTGCGAGTTTGAGGTCGACGGCTAACGAAAAGCGTGCCTGTACATTGTTGTCTCTTTGCGAAAACTGATTAAAACTCCCAGGTGCCGGCATAGAACCAATTAGCTTTTTTAACTACAAGTCGTATCTGGAAATCTTGATGGGGACGCAGAAGAAGGACAAGCTCAACAGTAGCACAATGGCCGACAGTCCTACAAGAGACGCACACAAAGGTTCTTCAACTGGTCGTCATCGCGATGCCCTCGAGTCACCAATTTGCTCGTCCTCGCGCAACGCATACGAAGATAGCCGAATAATCTCGAGTGCAGATTATCGTCCGGCTGAAACTGAGATAAAACGGCTCGCGTACCGGATCACTTCGAGCTGATAATAGACCGTGTGCCAAGCAACGAGGCAGCATCTCGACAATCGCTTCGATACCTGCGCGCATAAGCAGAACAAGTCCCTTGTTGTTCGATGCTCTTATCCGCGCGGTTATCCGTCTGTGAGTCCGCAACGGCAGCCGTTAACCCAGAATAACGCTCGCGAATCTGCTCGCTAGAAGTGTGGCGCGAGCACGTGCGTAGCTTTTCCTGGGCTCCTGCAGATGTTCGTTCACGCACTTGCCGAGACAAGAGCTCGTTTGCGAAGAAAACGAGATGGCAGAAAGAATCGCAGCGCTTCCTAGCCAGCGGACTTCGTCGTTGAGAAACACGGCCTGCCGAGAACGCAAGGAGTAGAGCTTGGAAAAAAAAACAAGTCGCTGCGCTCGCTTTGCTTTGGAAACGGTCCGGTTTTCTTCTTCCGAGACGATTTTGAGAACAGAGAATCGTCGAGACGAACAAACGCCTCGCGAGAGGTCGGCTCCGTTTCCAGCATCGCCGAATCACTCGACGACCCGCGGAGGAGAAAAACCGTCGACGAGAGAGCGTCAATTAACCAGTAGCGTTAATCCTCGTTTTTGCGCGGCAAGTCCCAGTTCGCATCAGCAACTACCAGAATTATGGCCGAGAGAAAGGAGCATGGGCGAGGCGGCTTTAATACTTCTCTTAATTTCCGCGGATGCTATGTCGTCGTTTTTCCCCTCTTCCGTTTTACAGTTAAGCTAGCGCGAGAGGCTTTTGTTGCTCGCTGATTTTTTTTCTCTTTTTGCTCTATAATTATGTATTCACTAAAAAAGAAAGTCCGATTATGGAGTGTCGGCGGCTCTCGCGCACTTTTTGATATGATTGATTCAAGTTGGAAGGAGAGGCCGGTTTCGCATTTCGCGATGTAACGGCGAGTCTCCAGCTCCGGGCTGTCATCGGAGACGAGGCTGAACGGGGAAGCGACGACCTGCTCATTTGCTCATTTGCTCATTTGCTGTCGGAGCCGAGCTGTGACTCGTCTCTGCCTGTCGGACAAATCGATCGCTCTCTCGCGAAAAAATCGCCGCTTCACCGTTCACAGTCGTCTCGGCGAGGAGCACGACCGTATTCAGAGCGTCGCGATTATTAGAATCGGACAGTCTCCGTGATTCAAGATGCGAAGCCAAATGACCATCGTAAAACCAACAGTAAAAAGAAGCGAAATCTCCCGCTCTACATAGCCGGCAAATAATGCCAAATTACATTGCGATACTAGGAGCCGTGGGGAGGGGCGGCAGCACGCCTGCCTCTACTAATACGCGAAAAAAAAGGCGCGCTCTCGAAAAACGCAAAACAGCGTGGTCGTTGCATGATTTTTCACTCCGCTAACCTTGTTCGGCGCACAATGCAGATGTGTACTGCGCGCTCGTAAAGCGCAAATTGCCCGGCGTGATGCCCCGGGCTCTTAACTGTCTTTCCTTAACACGCGCTCTACTGTTGCGAATTATACATCCCCCCACCCCCCGCCGCCGCTCCACACCGTTCTTTTTTTATACGTCGAATAAACTTGCTTTTTATTCTCTCTTTATTTCTGCTGGACGCGAAGCGAATCTTCGAGATCTTAATTGGACGAGCAAGTGTCGCGCTGAGCGTT